TTAGTTAAGAACTATAATAATTATAAGTAAATAAAAATAATATTTAGTTTAATTATAATAGCTATATAAAGCATATTCTATATAAAGCATATTCCTAACCTTTTTTAAAAGCTTTTATTTTTATTATTACCCCTCGTTTTATTTAAACTTATATTTGAAAGAAAAGTAACTAAATTTATTAAATTTATTAAATTAAAGCGCTTAATAACTTATTTAATATATATATCGTAAACTAAGTAAACTTTATAAATAGTACGATTTTATATAATCCGCACTCTAAAGAAATAATTAATTAGTCTATTTTTTAAAATTAATATATTCTTTTATATTATTAACGACCTCCTAAGTTGCTTTCTAATTATCTTAATAATATAGGATTATAAAGTTATTAATATAAAATACTAATATTATTTTCCTATTTATAGTTTAGTAAATATAAATTTTGTCGTAATTATAAATTATATTTATATTATAAAGTATAAAAATAAAAGTTTAGAACTATAAAATTAATAAGTCTCGTAAATTATATAGAGCGTATTAAAATTTACTTATTTTACTAATAACTTTATATTTTTTAAAAGTTTAATAATTATTAGTTTTTATTTTTAATAAGTACGTTAAGGAATACGTTAATAACGTTATATTAATTAGCTTTAAAATTAAATTAGGTAATTATTATTATTATAAGCTAGAAAGCCTTTATAATAAGCGTTAAAGCGTATATATTTTATAAAAATCGAGTAATTATATATCCCCTTATATATATATATACTTTTATTTTATAAACCTCGTTATTAACGTCGCTTATATATATATACTTATTTTAATAAAAATAAGATCCTTTATTTAGGATTATATTTAACCTCCTCTTATATATTAATATCCTTTAGCTTTTTTATTTTTATATTTATAATATTCCTAAGTAGCTTTTATAGCTACTATAAAAGTATTTAATATTACTAAACTTCTTTAATAAGCTTAAAAATTAACTTTATTAAGCCGTGTTTTTAACTTATACTAAGGCGCTCTAAATAAGTCCTATAAACTACCCCTTTATTACTTAGTAAAATATTATATATCTTATATTACTTTCTTTTATAACTTTTACTAATTAGGTATAAAATAAAAAAATAATCTTAGTAATAGTTATAATAATTACCGTTTTTATATTTAAATATAAGAGCATAAAAATATTATTATTAAAGTATTATAAAGATCTATAGGCTTAATTTAAGTATCTAAGACCTAACTAAGCTTTACTTAGTACTTATTAAAATAGTTTTTATAAGCTCTATTCTTATATAGTAATAGAAGTTTATTATAAAGGTTCCTTATTAATATTAACTTTAGTATTAAGAATTATATCTTTATAATTAATACCTCGTTTACTACGTATTTTAACTTCTTATTAAAAACTATTAAAAATTAAGAGCTTAAAACCTTTATAATATATATAAGCGCTATAAAAAAACTATAAATTATATAAAACTATTTATAACCTAGTTATTATATCCCTTTTTATCCCTATTCTTAAGCTTATATAAAAGAGTTATTTTAAGGGTTAGTAATACTAGTAAGGTTATATTAGCTTTGTTAATATTATTAACTATACCCTAGAGTACGTCTATTAGTTACTTAGTATCCTAAATAGTTAAAAACTTATAATAATACTATCTTTAACTATAAAGTTATTTTAAATATTAGTATTTCTAAAATCTAAATTTACTTCTAAGTACTTAAACTAATTTATTATTAACTTTAAAAGTTCTTATATTTTTTAAATTATTAAATTTATTTATTTATTTATAATAGCTTACTCTTGTATATAAAATTATAAAAATTTCTTTATTAAACTTAATATTTTTATAATAAATACTTACTTAAGTATGAGTACCTAGACTTTATATAAGTTATACGTTTTTAATATATATCTAACTAAGTATTTTATATACCTATAAAGAAGTACTTTATATTCTTTTTAATATATACCCTTTTATAATTTTTATAAAAAGGTATATTTAGTAATTATATATATAAAAATTATTAAAATACGTAACTAATTTTAAATTTTATACTTAGTAGCCTATTTATTTATTACTAATATTAATATTTTTTTATTAATTAATTTTTATTATAATAAGCAAATTTCTATTATTAACCTCTTATAAAATAATATTATAAATAAAAATTGTTATTAATATTATTTTATTTTATAATTTTTAAAGAGGTTTATAAAAAGTATATCTTATGAGCTTTAATAATTATAAATTAACTTACTCTCTCTACGTTATTTATAAGTTTTTTATATATAGTAATAAAAGCTCTATTTTAATTTTTAGCTTATTATACTACGTTTTATATACGTATTTAACGTTTATAATAAAGAGGGCGGTTTTATTATTATTTTTAAAAAGTAAATTAAAGTTCTTTTTATTAACGGATTATCTTAAGGCTTTATAGTATAAATAATACTTTATTTTTTATTTTATTTTTAAAAAGAACTCTAAGCTATTTATTATATTTATTTAAAATTATAAATATATATTATTATCTACTTAAAAATAGCTTAAAATAAAAAGATTTTAATATATATAATATTATAATTATAAAGCTTTTTTAAAGTAGTCCTTTGAAATTATTAACTTAATTTTAAATATTATATATACTTTATACTTAATTTATAATAATAATTTAATATATATATTATAAGTCTTATAAAGGAGTTAATAAAAGTATTAAGCTTAAAATAACTAGTCCTAAAATACTATAAGAGCGCTATTAAATCTTTTATAAATACGTTAATATAAGTAATAGAATTTCTTATAACTAACTAGTAGTATAATATTAACTAGGTTTTATAAAACACGTTTAAAATTTATAAAAAAATAAGATTAAAAAGCTTATATTTAAAAAAATTAGGTTATTTTTTAAATAAACTACTTCTTAATAATACTTTTATAGAGTATTCCCTATTATAAAATATAATCTAAATTATAATATTAAAATATACTTTTATTAAAAAGAGTTTTAAAACTATATTAATATAAAATCTCTTAATATAAGTAGCGTTCTAAAGCTTTAAATCGTACGTTCCCCGTTCCTCCTTTTAAATCTATTTAAAACGCCTTTTATAATATAAATACTACGTATAATAATAAGTAATATAATAATACTAAATTTAATATAATTATCGTTACTTAATAATATATAACCTGGTTTAAATAGGCTTTTATTATTAATTAAATATATTATTTTATAATTATTTATTATTATACTCTAAAATAATAAATAAATACTACTTATAGGTACTAAAAATTATATTTATTTTTATTTCTTAACCTTTTATAAGTATAGCGATAATATAATTATTATCCTAATTTACTAATAAGCTCGTTATAAGTTAGTTAGAGAATCCTTTTAATTATTAAAGCTTTTTAGGGTTCTATTATTTTTAGTTAACCTACTTTTTTAAGCTTATTATAAAATAATTTTTATTTATTTAATTTAACTATAATAAGGACTTTTCTATATAGCTATTTATTATTTATATTAAGGAACTATTAGTATTATAGTTTATAAGTACCTATTTTAATTTTTAATATACTAAAAGTTATTAGTAATATATATTATTATAGAGGTAATTAATATCCCCTTTATTATTTACGTTCTTAAATAAGTTAGAGTATTTAGTAAAATAAAATAAGCCCCTCTTTAGCTTAAGCGTTTAGTATATATCTCTTATATTATTAAACTAAATATATATATAATCTTATTAAGGGTCTTAGTATATGTTTTAAAAACTATTAATTTATAAAAATTTTATAAGTATGTTAGCCTTATATAAGGTTAAGTCTAGATTTAACTATATATTTAAAAAGTTATATAGTAATTTTTTATTAATTTCTAGGATATTATATATCTTAGCTGGAAATAAGCTAATTATTACTCTTTATATTAGCGTTAAGGGTTAATACTAATCCTTATTTTACTAAGGACTTATTTATATTCTTAGTAAACCGTATTCTTAATTATAGCTTTAGAGGGTACTAGTTCTTATTTTAATTATTTAACAATTTATTATATACTAAATTTAATACTATCCTTAATTACTTTTTAAAATATATATTTATAAAGAGTAGTATTAACTAACTTTCTTAATTACTAAGTAAGAAGTTTAATATATATATTAATATTATTATATTTAGAGGCTATAATTTAATAATATTTAATAAAGAGCTCTTATTCTTTTAAATATTTTTAAGTATATTTTTATAAATATAGTATAAGGATATATTTAATTATATAAAATAGGTAGTATTATTAGTATTATAAAAAAGTTTTAAATAGATCTTATAAGTTATTTATACTTAAAGAAATTAAAGGGGTTATATTAAGAATTAGGGCTAAATTATTAATAATAAGTCTCTTATTCTTATTAATTATTTTTAAATACCTTATAGTATACTTAGTAAGCTCGTTATTTTTTTATTATAAATTAAAAATATTAATTTAAAATTAGAAAGTAAAATAAATATTATAAGGGAGTAAAGTATATTAAAGTTTAGAATATTTAAATTAATATATTTTTAAACTTTAAAACCCTTATTTATTAAATAAAAGGCCTAGAACTATTTAATTTAATTATTATAGCTAGTTAATTTAGCCTAGCTAAAGGTAAATATAAAAATATTAATTATATTAAAAGATTATAAGGATTATATTAATAAGTATATTATTATAATATAGGGTTTTAATTAAGAGTTAAGCTTATAATTATTACGAGTTATAGTATATAATAATAAGTATATAGAGTATAATAAAATAGTTTAATTTATTAAAGTAGAAGTAGATAAAAGGAAAAGGTCTATATATAGTATGTAAGTGATATATATGTGATATAGCACGTGACGGGTACTTCGTGGTCTGCGGTTACTATCTCTGTTACGTGACAGGTACATACCTTTTAACTTTTTGAATTTTTTGTCCTCAAGGTGCTCCTTCTAAGTAAGTTGCCGTGCTTCTTTGAGGGATGCGGGAAGGCCGTAGAACTTGATAGAGGAGTATACACCTTCACCCAAATCGAGACGGACAAATCTAGTTTCCTTGCTGTCAATTATGGGGCGGAGACGCCACTGGTAGTTATGTTGCTCGTCAAAATTGCGCAAGCACGTCTCTATGATGACCTTACGAGTGCGACGAAGGAGGTTCTTGCTTTCTCTGGCGCGCGTCTTCCAAATGTCGATGCAAGGCTCCTCGCCAGAGCTTCTCAACTCCTGAACAGTTGGCAATCTGGACGAAGTCTCGGCGTAAATGATATCATGCTTGTGGTTATAACACTCTTCAAGATGCGTGCCGGCGGGGTATGAAAATAGATTATCCTCCCACCTACGAAATGGAATGAGGTCGACCAGGTTTGTATTCAGCGCGGGTTTTTCGGTCGCAAATTGATGGAACCCATCGGGGCAGGTTTCCAGAGCAACAGTGGGGACCTCGATAGCCTTCAGGTTTCGACACCTTATCATCGTCTGCCAGAACGAGTCCCATGGCACCGGGCCACATCCCTGTGTCGTATCACTGGCGAACCGGACATTGCAAGGTGTACCGCGCTGATCAGCACTCAACACAGTGATGGAAGAGATGAGGTCTCGATATCTTGGCCGGACGAGATTTTTCAAGGCCGTGATGGCCTCGTGACCGCTGAGAAAACTGAAGTTGTTCCGGGACCAGAAGAGGGGCGCTGCTTCGGCGTGCACCTGTCTGTTGGTCAACAGCAGCCCGAGTCCCTTGCGCTGATCGCAGCGGCACATGGTGCTCCCAGGCCAGTAATAACTATCTAGATCCCATATAAGCCGGTGAGGCTCCTCTGAAATTACGATGTCTTTGAGCAGGAAAGCGGGGGGCTCTAGCAGTCTAAGACGATCGGAATGCCAGAAGCAGTCAGATTTGTGTTCAATGTCCCTTCTTTTTGGTTCGATAAGGATGAACTCATAGATGAGGTAGCGGATGTCAACTGGGAGCTGACCGAGGCAGAAAAGTCCTTTCCGAGGTTGAATGTATTTTCCAGGTGTAGGGCGAATGTTAAGGGTCAGGGCGGACATGGCGGGTGTGACTTTGCCTGTGTTCTGCAGCTTATTGAGAGAGTTTGTCATGATAGAGTCTGTCGAAACTTGGTCGGAAGACAGTGGATGGGTTTTCTTGGAACTGAAGTCGTGTATTTGTGAGTTTGTTTAGTGTCTCGTGTAGATGTAAAGTGCTTGATAGTGATCTGTTTCATATGTTCAAAAGAATGTACACTAGCTGGCATCTTCCTTTTCTATCTAGAGGTCATCACCATAATTCTTTGTGTTCTAGACCACAAGACAGACGACAATGGCGAAGAACAACCGTCATGACTTCTGTCTTTATTAGCAATACCTCAGGCGGTCTTTGCGATGTTTATGTTTTGTTGAACGAACAAGGCCTTGTACGCGTGGTTCTTTGGTCAATGTCAAAGGGTCTTTGAAGCAGTACCCGGCTCGCCATTCAAATGAGTTCGGGTTCCTTGTAAAGAGGACTACGATTAATTTCTTGCAGGACGTGGACGAAACAGGATTTAATGTATTTCAATGAAGATCGTCCAGTAAGAAGGCCTGCAAGGCAGTGCTTCTCGTGACAAGCTGCCCAAGACGCCGCAGTAGGATGCCAAGAATGTGGAGAAATTCTATGAAGGAACCCTGTGTATGCCGAAAGATCTGCCTGGTTCTGGTTTCATATCAGAGGTACAATATTCGTTTCCTAAACAATTAGGAAGAGCAGTGGCGGGATGCAAGCGAAACGCAAAAGTCGCAAAGCAAATATTCGTACATCCAGGTCTAATAAGGCAGTTGGCAACAGCTGAAAATTGCATATCAGACCAGCGTACCAGCAATTCGAATCTGTGATTGAGATGATTGATGTATTCCCCCATTACGATTAGGAGTTCGTCCTGTTCTCAGAGGAAATCGTTCACCTCATCTAAACCCCTCATTGCCAACGGTCGCCACCAGATGGCCAGAATCGCGATCGTGTGGGATAGACTAAGACCACTAGCTCCCACAGCCGAATCCGCCACCCTAAGAACAATGGATCCAAGGAGGCAAACATGGCTCTCGCTCCATGCAGAAGAAAAAAACTCAAACGTTCTCCTCTCCCCTCCGACTTCACCGAGACTAAGCAGAATTTCTGTCCGCTGATATCAAGCAGTCTTTACTCCGCAACTGACAAGTCTTAGACCACAATTCTCGATCCACAATGTCGACACGATAACGCTCGAGACCTCGCTTGTGGATAAGTCAAACCCCCCACTTCCTGGCACCCCCCTGTTTCTGGCACCCACAAAAACGATGGGATCACAACCCAACCTCCTCATTACTATTAACTATTGATCCTCAACCACACCCACTACAATACAACTGCCAGCCTCACTAGGGCATTCAGAGTCGCTGGATTCAGCCGTAATAACCTCCTTTTCACCCGCTTCGATTTGAGCCCGATGGATATCCCTGATGTTCGCAAACTTCGTGTTGGGATCGATCTGAACAGTCTTCCTCTTCCTAACTGCAGCGTTGGTAACTTGAGCCCTCAGGTGAGCCAGCTGCTGCTGGGCAGCTGCCAGTTGCCAGGCCTGCTCTGTAGCCTTTTTCACCTTCCTGAACAGCAGCCGTTGAGTGCTGGTATCATTGTCGAGTTGGGTGTAGTGCAGTTGACCGCTGAGCTCTGCCAGCTTCCTGGGTGTCGACCAGACCACTGCAGAGGAAGCAGAATCCCATGGCTCAACAGGGTAGTTTGTTGACCATTATGGCATCGCTTTTTGCCCCGACTGGTTGGTTTGGGTGTGGTGGGCTTAGCAGAAGGCTCAGGTAATACCATAGGGTTCATCAGGGGCTTAACCATCGCTACAGGGTGTAGACCAGTCCACTTCCAACCACTTCTGATGTTCGAGACTGATAGACCAGCAAGTCGAGCCTTCTGGTAACAGTCCAGGAAGTTCCTTTTACCTATAATGGTAGAGTCGTTCCATTGAGACAAGTAACCGAGCTCCTTCCGATAGGCTGACTTAACAGGGCTGAAGACAGACTGGTCAAGTGGCTGGAGGACATGAGAGGAGTGTGGTGGTAAGAACAGTAAATGGATATTGTTAATATAGCAATTCCACATGAAGTCTGTCGTCGTATGACTCCCATGCCCATCCACAATCAACAGTCGAGCCTCGCCCTCAGCCTCGGGCATAGTCTGTGGGATAAACACCTCTCTAACCATTCAATGGCAGTTAAGTCTGTAGTCCAGCCATTATCTGTTGCTGTAAACTCCCACCCATCGTATGGAACCAGATGTAATGGAAACCACTGTTGTTGGACCGTCTTCCCTTGAAAATGATAAGAGGACGAAGTGCCCTACCCAAGGCTGAGATACACTCAATGATAGAGACCCATGCCCTCGACCCAGGTTGTTTCTTGCGAACAGACGTCGTCTCAGCCATGCCCAGCACTAACCCATTAGCTCCTGACCCTCGAGGATGCCAGTCTCATCCATATTATATCTGTTGGCTGGTTTGATGTCCTTGATCTCAGGGATAGCAAGGAACTTAAACCAGTTCCTAATGACCTCAGTAGATGCCCCATTAACGCGTCTAGAATCGATGGAACGACTTCTCTGAACCTTAATGATAGGGTTCCTTCTCACGAAGGCATAGATCCAGCCTTTTCCTAATGGTTTGGTATCCCCAGCAGCAGCCAGAACTCGCTCTGCGAATTCCTTCACCTGTTGGTGCGTTGCGAGGCCCAGCGAAGCCTGAATGCGAACCCATTGTGCCAGCTTACTCTCCTGGTCAGGAGACAGCCTCTGCCAGTCAGCAAAGCCACTTTCCTAGTCTGACCACCTTGGAGACGTAGTTGGAGGTTGATCGTGGTATCCATACTCCAATGAGGCTCTCTTTGACTCTTGCCGTTTGAGATGTCCTCGAGAGCCTGACGAAGCTGATCTTCGGTATATTGAGGCATTAGATATAGAAGAAGGTATGTGCAAAAAATGAGCCCATTTGGACTCGAATTGAAAATGTTGTGATAAAAGGAGGTTGGGGGTGGGCATTGCGTTGTGGTGGATTTTCGCGTTTTTGTGGGTGCCAGAAACAGGGGGGTGCCGGGAAGTGGGGGGTTTGACTTATCGAACATGCGAGCCGCGATGACATCCTAGTAAGAGGTGCTGTAAGCTAAGCCACAACCAGTAGGAGGGGCGTAGGATCAATCGGATGAAAAGAACAAAGCACCAACGCAACTCCTCACTTCCCGTCTCTCACGCCGACGGGCTGCCCGTAGGCGTCACTCTCGAGACAAGGCAGCACGACCGTGCTCCTCGATCTCCTCACAAAAGCCCATGTTTCGCGGTCCAGGCTAAGGGAGGGAGAGTTTATCAGTCTCAAGGCTCTGATTCGTCGGGTTCATGCATCCTCTAGCTCGTGTCGATGCGATCAACCGCGTCCAGAAAGCAGGGAATCCAACCAAGGGTATGTCATAACCGAGCATCATCTCAGCTGTCCACTGCGAGCGGTGACTGGGGGAGGGCAATTTGGGGGGACTCGGGAAGAAATGTCGAGAAAGAAAAGCTGCATGTTTGGCTCTGTTTCCCTCGCTATCCCTCCCTCATCGTGCGTCGGCGGTGCATGTGGTGCTCAGAAGTGTGGCGGGTGTTTCTGGGGTCGATTGGTGTCTCGCATAATGGATGGTCAATCTAGGCCTATCAAACCCCCGGGACAACCCCAGACTCGACGTCACAGACGGTGGACGCACGTCAGCTCACACCACCCTCCTCATCCTTTTCCATCTACGTCATGCCCCAAAGATGCCACAGAGCTTCGCAATGTATATAGAGCATCAGCCACACCAGAAAGAACAGTCTTTAACAAGCCAACTCGAGGCAACACTACTCTGTGAAAACCAGACTTTTCAGATTATCGTGAACCAGAAACACAGAGTTTTCCTACAGTACCACATATTTTTCCATTATGCCATCATCAGTAAAGAACCACAGTGCTTCTGTGGAAGGTTAGTCAGCTCTGAAAATCACCTTACCCAGGCAGAGTGTCAACTCGAAGAGTTGTGAGGTTGCATCCGTCACTAACACGAGTCGTCCCACCAGCCGCAACTCCCCACAAGGTCTCCTCCGCCAAAAAGGCAACGGCCGCTAAGGTCGACGAACGGAAATCGCAAGTGACGCCAAAGAAGGTCTCCTCAGCCACAGCCGCCGCTAAGGACAATGTATCGACCAAAGATCACGCTACCACCACGCCGGTAACAAAGAAGGTCTCTTCCTCCACACACAAGCCCACATCATCGGCATCCAAGCCTGCAGCATCCGCTTCCAAGACTGCATCCTCTGCATCGAAACCAGCCACATCCTCCGCACACAGAACAGCCGACCATGCTTCCAAGACGGCCAAGTCAGCATCACACACTGCCAATAAGGCTGCCAGCGGCAGCAGTGGCGCAGATCTTGTCAAGAAGATGAGGAGAAGAAGACTACCCAGTACACAGAGACGACTGGCTCAGACATCGTGAAGAGAATCCAAGCCCGCAAGGCTGCGGCCGCAAAGGAGGCTGCCAGAAAGGAAGCAGCTGCAGCACGGACTCACGAAGACAACCTGCCCAAGAAGAAGCCCGCAGTCGGCGCGGCACCACAGGCTGTACCCAGAGCTCCCGTCACAGTACCCAAGGCCGCACCCGTCAAGAAGCAGGCCGCCCCTATCCCCGCACCTGCTGTCAGGAACGTCCCTGCTGCTACCACCAGTCCAGCCAAGGTTGCGAAGAAGGAGAAGGTCTACGCCCCTGGCGCTCTTGTGCCTACCGCAGAGCACGAGGCCCGGAAGGCCAAGGCTGCTACGCCGAAGAAGGAGAAGCAGTACCACCCTAGCGCCCTCACTCCCACGAATGAGATTGAGGCTCGTCGCGCAGCGAAGAAGGCCCAGGCCGGAGGTCCTGTGGGCCAGGTCACGGATACCGTCGGTAAGACCGTTGGAGGCGTTGGCAAGACTGCCGGTGGAGTCGTTGGTACCGCCGGCCGGACCGTTGGCGGAGTCGGACGGACTGCTGGTGGCGTTGTCGATGGCGTCGGCAAGGCGGCTGGCGGTACCGTTGACGGCCTGGGTAGAACCGTTGGCGGCGTCACCAGCGGCCTCGGCAAGCAGGTCGGTGGCACCGTTGGAGGTCCCCTCGGCAAAGGTGTTCAGGGCGCCACTGACGGCCTTGGTAAGACTGTTGGCGGAGCCACCAGCGGCGTTGGCAACACTTTGGGTGCCGCTACTGGTGGCCTGAACAAGACGCTGGGCGACACCACTGGCGCTCTCGGCCGTGGAGATTTGATGGGCACCGTCGGCGGTGTCACTGGTGGAGTTGGCGATACCGTTGGAGGCGTTGGCAAGGGATTGGTGCGTCATCATCCAGTACTCGAATGGCTACGTGGGATACCTTGATATTAACATGTTTCCAGGGTGACACTGTCGGCGGTACGCTCGGAGGTGTTGGTGCCACAGTCGGCGGACCGGTTGGTGGCATCGTCGGCGGAGTCGGCAAGGGAGCCGGCGACGCGGTCACTGGTATCACCGGAGGTCTAGGCAAGGGCGTCGGTAGACTTGGCAAGGGTGATGTCCTCGGCGGTGTAGGTGAGGTTGTTGGCGGCGTTGGCGATGGGTAAGCAACTATATTTGTTCAATCACGACCAATCTCGCCTTACTAACGTTGACACAGCGTTGGCGGCCTTCTCGGCGGTGTCCTCGGTGGTCTCGGAGGAGGCGGCCAGGAGAACAGCGGCGGCCTCCTCGGAGGTGTGCTTGGTGGAGGTGGTGACGGAAAGGATGGCGGCGGCGGCGGCCTTCTTGGTGGTGGTGGCGGCAAGGGTGGTGGAGGTCTGTTGGGACTCTGAGCTGTCAACGATAAGGAACGTGTAACAAGTTTGTAACATCATTTGAGCGATGGGCGATGGTTATGATGGAAAAGAGATGAGAGATTGCGTATCACTTTCTGGAAGGTTGTAAAACAGGCAACAAATCAAGCGAATTGAACTTTTCCAACTTAACACCGCGGGTTTCCATCTTCACGAACTAGCTTGAGCTTGTGATCAAAGACTTTGAACGATATGAAGCGCATTATGAGAGCATGAATCTTGACGGTACTTCTCGTGCGTGATTGATTGACAGAATTCGACTTGCAGTTTTAGTGATATCCCGTTTAGTCCTATAAGGGCCCAAAGAACCTGTTGATTAGCTACCGATTTGAAGCGAGATACTAATGTTGATGAACATGTACCGATGTGTGATACAAAGTACTTGGCTGTGAACATTTCACTGAGGTCACAGAGGCCATCACACTCAATCGTTGGTGAACCTGTCACACCGATCCCATGGACGTGGTGGCCCCTTAGCCACTTGCTTGTCTCCTGGATTAAGGTGAGACACGCATCAGTCCTTGGCTAGCATAGTCTCCGGGGCCTAGATTCCAAGAGACTCTTCACTTCTCAAAGTTGGCATGTAAAATTGTTATTCATTCCAGTCTCACAGCACCGGGGCACGTGTCAAGCATTTTGATACCTGCCGTGGCTAATTCGAAATAGCGCAAGGTAAGTGGCCGGAATAAGATATAGGCGCTTCACAATAAACTTTGCTTGCTCAGGTGTCGACGAGGGATATTTGGCGCAGTGACAAGACAAATTGAAGAATCGAGGGGCACGAGATATGATAGGGAAATGTTACCTTGTCTACTTTAGCGGTCGACATGAACTTTGGTCCACTGAATACAGAACAGATAGACCTTAACAAACTGTTATCAGGTTTAATAAAAGGAGTCCGGATTTCGCAGTCATGTGGGGGTTTGTGTTGGCTATTGTGTCGAGTCACCTCACATAGCAGTAATTAGTCTTCCACCAAATGAGGGCCCATGCCACATACTTACCCAGCGAGAGACAGGGCCTGAAGGAATATTCGTGTAAAGCCTCAATTTCACAGCGAGTCTGGAAACTCTCCAAATCTAGCATGGACAACTATCCACCAACCGTGCAATCTATCGTTCACCTCATCGCCTAGTCGTCTTTACCCAGGTAATACTGTGACATAGACCCAGGCCCTGTAGAGAAATCTCGATCTGCGAAAACTTATGTAGACAAGTAATGTGGTATTAAAATTACGGAATAGATGGTATTGTGGGATTAGCACCCTTTTACACCAATTATAACACCGCCATCGCCGGCACGATGTATAGTAAAGCCGACATGGTATCAACACCTTTCAGCCCCTGCTTCTCAGGGAAGTCTTCTAGTTCTTGTCCTCGGGGCAGTCCTTCTTGTAGTCGTCGCCGAGCTGGCCGCGGACAGCACCAGGTACGGCAAGGCTTGAGTGAACATCGGTGAAGAATCCCTCGGGGTTCTCCTCAATCTGGCTGACCTTGAAGCCTGAGCCGGTGTCGACACCGGTAGCGTTGACGCCGGTGACGAAGGGGCCGGTCAAGCAGCCGACGCTGCGGCGGACGTTTTGGTATCCCTCGACGGCGACCGGGTTAGGGAAGGCGATGCTGGTGAGGTTGGGTTAGTATTCTGATTCAATCAAGCTATTTTTACATGAGCTTACCGAGGGGGGCCAGCCTTGCCCTTCTCTGCCTGGTGGATGTGGGTTGCCGTGCGGGCAGGGGACTGGTACTCGCCCTGGAAGTTGACCAGGGTGATGTTGTAGCAGATGACATTCTCCTTGGAGTTGATGCCATAGTTGAAGTAGCCGATGGCTCCGGCCAGTCCACCAGTGAAGGTGTTGTTGTTATCGACGACCTGGTCAGGTGTAGCGATCACGTCGTAAGTCGAGGTGAAGTGAAAGGGGCCGGAAGAGCCCCAGCTGCCCTTGCCTCCCTTCTTGGTCCAGCCGACAGCGTGCTTGATCTCCTCGACAATGGGAGCGGCGGAGGCAGCAGTAGCCAAAGCCAGGGGGATGATAGCGAACTTCATTGTGATGGTATGGGAGATAGTGATTGACTGGGGATGAATGTACAGTTAGGGTTGATAGATACTGGAAGAGGTGGATGAAGATGAAATGATGTGATACAGATCGGAACTTGGTGACAATGAGGGAGTTCTCATCTCTGTATATGTAGTAAACCTCGATATCCAGGTATGAGCTACATCTCAGGTGCATCTTCGGCAAGTACGGTCATTTCCCCTCAATTCCACAGCGCCTCTACACTCACTTGCATCATTGCTACGGCCTGGTGATGTGTTCGCTCAGCCAAGAACCGGAGGAACGATCAAGCGCTGTACGCCGGCGCCATTACCGCGGTCTGGGCTGTCGTGATGAATGGGCCAAGGGAATTGAGATTGCGGTGTTTGCCTCCCGTTCTCTCGTAGTCGCCGCGGCGCAGCAAATCGTCGAAGAGTTGGGGGCTCCTTGGCACACTTTCCTAATCCGGGGAACATCGAATACCAGAAGCACGGTTATGACGCCGCCGATCACTTGGGACTCGGCAGCGGAAGCGCGACTTGCCGTCCACAAGTCAACCAAGTGGGAGAGTTTATGTCTTGTTTAGGTTCGTCCGGTAGCGTCAATATTTCGAGGCAAGCTCCTTGGCGGTTGCTTGGCCCTCTCCCCCAAATATGCTCACCGCGACGCGCCGGATCGTTTGCCAATGCCGCCCAACAGAGAATCTGACGTGGGAAACACTTGGCTTCCGCGGCTTGCTACTACGGACATTTGAAAATCAATACTCCGCTGGCAGTTTTGACGATCTTTTCCATCCCACCCGCGCCAGAACACAGCCCGTTTTGGGCGCGCTTTCAGGAATCAATTGCTGGGCATCTTCCGGAAAGCCTCACATCCGACGGAATATCGTCTAAAGCTAAGTAAGATGCTTTTTGTGCTTTTTTCTTCTTCTCCCTCCCAAGTTCGATTCAACCCTATTTTCGCTCGGCATTTGTAAGGATGACACCGGCGGTGTTGTTGGATCAGCAATGGTCTTGGCGATGAAGCAGCGCCAATGAAGTGAGACTTGTCTGACATCGCTGGGAGCACGTTATTTCTGTGGCATGAAATCGCATGTTTCTTGCCCTTCAACTAAACTCGACACCCACTATGTTCCATCGCAAACGTTGTGCTAAAACAAGTTCTTGAAACTCGACTGACTACATGTATTTTGTACTGATTTTCGGTGACTCAAGTACAGATTCCTCTCCGAGCTCCACGCAGATGTTAGGGAAGTAGTCAAAGAACAAGCAGCTGCGAACTATCTGCATTGGATGTTTACATCCAACAAACACATCAAGCCACGCAATTACGATTATTCGGAAGCTCATGCGCGCTCGGCCTTCGTCGTATGCACGAATTGGAAGATCGGCAACGTTATCGACAGGAAACAGCCACCTCGCCCGGGAAGAGACCGGAGAGACTCGAGGCTATTGGTTTTCACGAACTCAGCTATTGCATTGAGATACGTACAATTGTCAATGTGGTTCAAAATATTGCTCTATTGAGGCCATACAAGGAGAGGTAGTCCATTCTGCTTCCTGGGTTAGATCCTCACCAGCTAGCTGGCCAACAGCCGGCGCCCTGGACAACATCTCAAACATGCAAGATCGACAAGAAATATAGTGGCTGGGTCGGCTCGCTACGGTTCTAGGATCTGTGCACTTGTCTACATCTCAGGCTATGACTTGAGGAATCCAAGATACTAGCCGCATGTGGTAGTGTCGTTGATCAGCCTTATTAAGCTCTTCTCTTGGACAGTCGTTAGATGTGAGTTTTCATGGCTCGGGCCATAATCTCGACAACAGAGTCTGACCCACGACGACAAATGCAGAACAATCGTACAGGATAATCAGTCTTCATCGCTGCGGTCTCAGCTGGAATGCACTTAGTTCCGGTCGGTTAGGTCGTTTTCGAGGGTACATCAGCTGAGCAGACACTTGCTCGGTTTCGCTGTGCCCACAATAAACAACGTCATCCTTGGGTGGTGGTAGGGATATCGTTGTTAAGATTTGGTTGCTGATGACAGCCATCAATTGGCTGCTGAAGAGACAGAACTCACATCTGTGAGAAACCGAGATTACTGCTAGTAAGTATGAGTTCTCATTCATGCTTCCTAGTCTACTACCTCTGGCTCGCTGCATATCTTCCTGGGCAAGAGCACAAGTACTTCTGCAGAAGAGCCCGAAGCTTTAACCTCCGAGGAGGGCTACGCCTAGGGCTCCTCCTAATAAAGGGGTTTGAATCCCGTGGAGCCCTGCTTTCAAGTGAGAAGTATCACTAGCGCGCCTATTTGCGCATGACAATCGCATCGATGAAGGTTCATTCGCCCCTTTTCTGGCTTTCGGCTACTCGGTCGGACCATCAGTTGCAAGGAAACATTAGCGGAAGTTTCGGACCCTGAAGGCCGCCAATAAACAAGCTTTTCAAAAGGGGCTGATCACGAGCTGAAATACAGGGGATATCCAAGACTTTCAGATGAGTTGCTAAGGCTTGACAAGTTGCAATAGTTGAGCCTCCACATTAAAGATCTTCAGGGACGGGGAAAAGGCTAGTGAACTCGCCGATTATATGGGTTAATCATGATTCGTTTTATTAACATCATGCTCAAAGTGCCCAGTGATGATCCGCGGAGTTGAAGCACGAGCCACATTCATTAACTCTACGATATTGAAAGTCTTCTCAAAATGCTAGAAACCAACACGAATAGCTCGCGATGGGTTCGTAGCTTTCAACTAGCGTGCCGTTCATCCGATGTTCGAGCGAGTCACAGGGAACCTCAGCTCCACAGGTTCCGGGTAAGTCTTGCGGACTCTAGACCCCGCTTCAAGATATAAAGACATTTTGCCAAGCCGTTGTATCGATATATTTCCGTCGCAATCAGCATTCAACTTCCATCATTTTATCTACCAAATAACCAAAAATGGTATCTCTACTTCACTCTGTGCTTCTGGCATTCGCCGGTATTGCTGCTGCTGGCTCACTTGAACCCACCGCAACTCAAAGCGAGTGCACAACAACGATAACGGTTCTCGATCCCGGCTTCACTGGCGACTACCAGCCAACGAGCACCATCACAATCTACAACCAGACAGTAACCATTGGAAAGCCTACAGACTGCCACGGCTGCAACCACGTCACAACTACCGTGGCGCCGGCGCCTTGGTGGGGTGGGATCGGCCCGGAGATCCAGAAGGTTATCTACGTCCACGCAACGACACCAACTACGATCACGTCACCCGTCTGCGCGACATCGACACCGTCTTCTACGAGTGCACCATAGCCCTGGAAGAAGTACAGAAGAAAATTCTATAAAAGATTTCCTTAGAGATTGTACTTCGGAAGTTAGGGTATTGGCTGGCGCTTTGGATCGATCACGTTTACACTTGGAGGGCTGAAGATGGAGGAATCCCCCGGGCCTATAATGCTGCCTGACCAGTCAATGGTTGTAGTATCATTAGCCGACAATATGATTGATAAATCCACGCTCTGAAGAGATCCTTGATACGTTAAATATCTACACTCATATTTCCCATAGAGTAGCCTTTCATTGTATTTGTTCGCTTGGTTAAGACTTGAAGAAGCTTCATCAGTCGTCAGCATCGGAATCTTGCGTCCGGACAAAGCTAAGGAGGTGTTTTGAATCCTCGATGTACGTCTCTCGCATGGGTAAGAGACGCTTGAAATCATCACTGCCTGACGCTATATGCCCTTGTGTACACGTACTTATAACAGGCCGGAAGCAACGCTAAAGCTGCCTCAGCCGTGTGCATAGTCTCTCTCGGCGCTCTAGAGGGTGTTATTGCCCAATACGATTTTCGATACTTCAAGGCTCGAAAACATTTGTCTCTTGTTGATATCATTCGCACAGTATCAGACACAGTATCAGAAGAAGAATGGTCTCTTGTGTAAAATCATGTAGTTTGACATATAGGAATCCAAAATATTCATGTCCACTTCGAAACCACCCCAGCCCCATGGAAGCTACGTATACCTATGTATACAGTAGACAAGTTCCACTTGACTCCGATGCCCATAGCTGGGCTGAGAAACTAATCTTTCCGCTGATGGAAGCGGCAAATTAGGAAATCCCTGATTTGTGAAGAGTTCAACATCCTATAGGATAGGTAGTCCGAAGGGATCAAACATCCCCAAGGCTGAGCCTATTTCATTAGAGCTGAAGCCGATATGACCCAGTATGTGGCTTATTTGGCCGGGTACCCAGCCGTATACGTCCTGCAGAGCGTGGGCTATGGGCGCAGCATCATTGCCAAACACACTTTGTAGTGCCGAAGCCACCAGTTCGCCGGCAAAACCATTTTGTTGCAAAAGTTGTGCAATCCCCCGTGGTGTCATACCAAAAGCACTTTGGAGACCCCCCGCTATCTCCCCGGCGCCGAAACCTGCTCCCGTCATGATAGATGCTACCTCTCCGGCATCTTTGTTGAAAGCTTTTTGCAAGACGTTTGCCACCGATTCGATCCCAGTAACTATGTCCTGCGCAACCTTGCCTGCCCACGCCTCAGCCGAGCTCAGCAGACTTTTGAACAGTTGCCCAGCGTTTTGCTCGATGTTGCTGAGAATGGACGACAGCAGATCGCTTATGCTTTTAATATCCACATCAACTGTGAATTTACCGAAATTGCAGGTTGCGCCCTCGAAGTCGAAGTTGCCCCAGACTTGGAGGATGATGTCCGACAAGCTTGAACTCAGTGCGAAACCCGCATCGACCGATGCCTGCAAATGGAGAGAGCCTAAACCGACCCCACCGATCGAAGGTAGCGATATAGTGTCATCGATGCCGTACTCGAATGCGGCGCTCAAGTTGTGATAATCGGATAAAGTGCAAGTCATATTCGACGTTAGCAACCCGCCGAAGTTCACGTCAAACGTAATGCCGCTCGGTGTGACATCGGCGTCCAGGTTTACACTTTCTAAACCGAACAGACTCACAGCACCGTTGAGGTGCAGGAAGGGCGAGGCCAACGTCTGGACCTCCAACTCTGCGCCACCCGATTGCACCAAACACTTCGTCGTGGCATTTTCGATTGCCTGTTTCTGCGCTGCCGTGGTGACTAGCTGATTGTTTTTGATAGGATTACCGCTGGCATCCACCTTAACGGAAAACCCGGTGCCATTTCCGGTTATCGAGAATATGCTGCCGAATTTCAGGGGAGCCATCTGGATGCTGGCTGTTAGCCCTGTCGTGAGATCGATCTTCAAGTCGCCGTAGAACTTGATGTCGAAGATGCTGGCAACTGCGCTGAAGCCATACTTCATGTTGGAGAGCGACCCATCAGGCAACACTACAGGTTTCATGGGGTCTGCAGACCATTGGAAGGATAGATCGGTAAATGACACCGGTACATCCACAGGACATTGAAAGTTGGTGAAGATCGTGAAGACGTCTTCCAGGCTCATCTGAGACACATAGAAGGAAACGTAGAGGGGGGTCGGCACATCTTCGATCATCTGGCAAACAACCACGAACGTGTCATCGTCAAGGCCTGTCAGGGGACCGCTGCCAGAGTCACCTATGTGCAGTTGACCTGAAAGGCCAATCGCCGCACTTGGTGGCTCAAACATGATTCCGATGCCTACGCCAAACGCATCAAAGTGCACGCCCTTCATTGTTGGTGGCGCCGGGAGAGAGGAATGATCTCCGTTGACAACCACGCTGAAATTGGCCTCAATGTTGTCTATGGCCATGGTCACATCGGCATCGAACTGCTTTCCGAATATAGTGAGCGGGACGTCACCAGTAACTTCAAAGAAGACGAACTTGAATAACGGGTTGATTTCAATGGTAGCGGTGGGTTTGTTGATGGTCAAGACGGACGAGCTTCCGAAAGGTACGTGCATAGCATCGAGGTCGATAGAAAGGCAAGTGCCCACATTGCCCGATTTGAAGGCATAGTTGATAGTGACTGACATCTGAAGCTGTTGGACTGTGAACAGTGATCCAAAAAACTGCAGCGCATCATCTGACTTGGCAGGCAGCTTCTTTAGGTCTATCCCTGCTCGAAGTACCAGCACATCGTTGTTGGTAGTATTACAAGTGAAGCTAGTCACTACGATGTCCGGAAGCGAGGCTGGCCAGGTTCCGCCCAATAGCGGAACAAGAGTCTTGAGCGAGTATAGGGCAGGGGCTGAGAGCTTGCCTTTGCCCTGTGCCTGCTCAGCAGTGTAAGCAATGGCCATCATATAGGTCGCAAAGGTGCAGCTCGCGTAGGTTTGTGAATGGGCGAAGAAGTTGTCAACGGGTTGGACTTGTGGCTTTGAGGAGTCTTTCCAGAGATTCTTGAAGGCCAACGTGAGCGGGTCGTTTTGATTATTGTTGATAAAGGTGATGAAGTCCATAGTTTGTGTCATAGCGTTGACATCAGCTTGCCCAACGCCATATGGTCCCTTGCTGAACCCTGACAAGTAATTGAGCCGTGCCAAAGGGGCATTGGACGTTGCATTCTTGACGATCAGCACTGCGGCTGATGGTTGTTTCAGTGACACTGAACCCGTGGTATTCGCTGGCACCGTTATGATAGAGGTCAAGGTACCAAGATAGTTTGTCTCATCTTGGGTACCCTCATTGAAAGAGTTGTAAACCGTGACACTAAAGTCCAAGCTATTCGTAAAAGGTATGCTTTGGGCAGACATGATGACAGTTAGGCAATCCCTCGCGTAATATCAGAGTGAATGAAAAGCAAAGGATTGAGATTTCTGAGAGCCGTGGTGACTGTTATGGTGGTAGTAGTGTCTGGTACTGGGTTTTACGCAGAGAAATGTTGACTGTCGTGGGGTGAAGACTGCCATATATATGGTTGTTAATAGTGGCGAGAAGCGATCGCCTCATGAGGTAGATAGCTACTTTATGGGTGGGCCCGCAGGTTTACCCGTTCCTTCCGACATAATTGGAAGCATCTGCTCCCCTCGCCGATGGTACTCAGAATGCTGCGGGGCCCTCAATTCTAGATTATGCCTGTAACTGCAGCAAACATCCAGACCATTGTAGCCGGATGGAATAATCAGCTCATTCAGCCCTTGGAGGCTGATCTTGTGGGCTTATCATTCTTCGTACCTGATAGTTAGTCTGGGGTTGTCTGCACGTCTAAGGAAACGCAACTTAGTTGCATACCTTAGTTCACACGATTATTGGTTTGAGAATCGGTGTAATGGCCAGTTTGCGTTGCTTCGGTCCTTGGGCGTGGCTGGCCAACTCGGCACAATGCTGAAAACAGCATTTTGAGGCTGCATGGTTCGAGGTTCGACTTTGGACTAAGTGAGGTGGCGACTTGATTTGAAGATAAAGACACAAAAGTAGTTTGCAGCTGAATACGGCTGAAATTGTGAGTCTTTACGTACTGACTCTTCTACATAGGGAGCAGCCTCGACAATTCCGGCCATGCGATTGATGCTGGAAGCGGATGGATTTGGTCAACAGTGAATTATGGGCTGGCTGACCCGGATCAACATAGAAGATGTTGGTTAATTTACGCACGTTAATTGATAAGGTAGTCAGAAAAATGGCTGGCTGGAAATGGAATGTTCTTTGCTAAATCTTCAGCTCCTTTATGGCAGAGATGGTTAGGCTTCGTGATAGTTGATCGAAAGCGAAAGAGGGCATTCAGCCTCATCAGACAAGACGTGATTGGATAAGGACCGAAGAAAACGGCCCAGACGGGAGCATACCTAGTGCGTTTTAGCGCGCTAGCGGGACATCGAGACGTTCAGCTGCGTACGAATGTGGAAGAGGGAGAAATGGAATCTAGCCCACGATTCTCCCAAGTGTGTAAGGAAAGTGCTGTTTGAGCGGGCTTTTCTAATCGCACTGGTTGAGAACGCTCTGCGCCATCCTACGACACATCTTCCAAAATCTGAGTGAGGGAATTTGGGTTCCCGCAATGGAACTTCAACAGCCTAAGCGCAGCCATTACAAAAGTAACAACACAGTTCAGACCAAACCGTTTGCGTCCCTGCCCATGAGTATTGTACCAGCAACTTGGTTTTAAATAGTCGCGAAGAACACCTAATTTCATGTCGAATCATATTCACGATCACTTCTTCTTACGATCACCTGATACAATATTCTCGAATCGCTTCCCTCTAGTAAACTCGGCCATACGTGCTTGTAATCTTTACTGTGAACAATCATGGGTTCTACTACTACCAACCCTATTGCCACAATTACCAACAACTCGGGGTACGATGTGGACATGTACGATGTCTTCAACCCCAGCACCGACCCAAAGACGCCAGGGCCTTTGACGTACACGCTACTTGGCACTGTACCAAACGGTACCGCTGCTAAGCAGGTACCAACCATTCATTTTGCCAGCCAAGTGCAGGCCATGCTTACAGGCACCATCAAAGCACTCAACGGCAATTACTATCAGCAATTTCCTGTTGCCGTGCTGGCGGTTTCCCCTTTGGCAGATTCAAACGCCTTCACTATCACTAGTGACACGCAGCAAAGCATGGTGGACTCCTTCAAGTTCATCAAGTACGTGCAGGCGAATCCATCCTCGCAGCTAGCCACCGAATTTCGCAAAGCCCTAGGCGACAAGAAAAGCCAGGAACAGGCGGTCAATGACTTTTTCAAGGGAACCGGCAGCTTTCAGTCGTGCACGATAACTTCTTGGACAGCAGTCTTGACCTGGCAAGCTCAGTTCACGAACCCCTGGCAGGGTACCTACTACCTCTACAGCCTGGGCAACGGCAGTAGCAGCAACTCCGGAACCACTTCGGGCTCATCAGCCCCGGCTCTAGTAGCAACTCTGGCCATTGCGGCTAGCGCAGCGGACTGCTCGGCAGTGCTGACAATTGCTGGCACAAACGACGAGAATACGCCGGTAGTGATGGCAGGCGATGGCACCATGCAGGAGCAAAATCAAGGCACTGGCAATACATCTGTGGCGCTGAAAACGAGCTGGCTTAACGTAGCACAGACCAGCCAACAGAATGGCAAGACTGTGTCTAACTATGTCATCGGAGCTGCTTTCACAGGCACCATCAACGGGGTCAATGTGGCTGGCAACCTCAACCAGCTGGCCATTCCAAGCCCTTCAAAGCAGTCGACGAGCGCCAATGACAAGAACTCGGCGAACGGATTTTCTCTTAACAGCCTTGAGGGCTTGGTTGGGATGTTGACAAGCATTGGCATGCTGTACTATATGGCGAAGGACCACAAGCAGGCCGAGACGCAAACGAAAAACGATGTGCAGAAAGAGGCAACCAGCAAGTCGGACGCGCAAGCAAGAGAGGCCAAAGTTAAAGCAGACTATCAGGCCATCGACGTACCTCAGGTACAGGCAATGTCGGTGAATGTGGAGCTCACTGTGGCAAACGTGCAGCAAGGCTATAGGGAGGTCGGCCAAGCCCAAGACATCCAAAACAAGCAAGACGCTGTACGAGAGCAGAGTGGCAAGCTACTAGAGGTACTAGAAGCCGGTGCCCCGTCAAAGGCTACAGAAACTGCGGCTGAAAACCTCGTAAAGGCCCGCAGCGGGCTTGAACAGGCGACAGACCTTACCGAGACTGCGGATGCTCGAGAGACCGGTTTGACTAATGCTTCTGCCACGCTCGCGGAAACGAGCGCCGACATTCAACAGGCGCTGCAAGACGAGGGGAGCCAGCTTTCACAGGATGAGGAAAAGGCACTGAAAGACACCCGGGAAGCACTGGACAAAGTTCAGGAGGAGGCCAAAGCCCAAGAGGAGAACCGAAAGGAGCAGGAAAAGCAGGACGATAATGATCCGAGCGAAGAGGTAGATGACAACCAATTTGATAACCCTGAGTCAGCGGACAAGCCTGACTTCGAGGGAGGGGAATAAGCCAAGATAGTTGGGTGCGACGGATCACTGTTGCTTCGACCATCCATCGTGTATTGGTCTTCAGTCGGTTTGAGTTTTGGGGACTATATTTTGTTTACTGACACCAATTTTCGATTTATGGAATTCGCTATTGTAAACCGCGTTTCTTGTTTTTTTTCCTTAAGATATTGCGCGCCAAGATCCAGGTTCAAATGACCCTTGTGTAAGCGCGGTACCCTGGATATCAAGAATCTTAAGCTAAGACATCGAAAATACACCCTCGCTTGGAAAGTGCTGACTGACTTCCATGGCGCAACCAAAGCGCATCTGTGACTCCCCTCACAAATACCAAGAAGATTCAATGACTCGGTTGCAGTGATGAGTTAAAATAAGAAGTGTTTCATTTAGTGGGAGGGTATCTAACAGAAGGTATAGGCAGTCTGACTATACCGCCGTGAAAATAGTATTGTCAAGAAATCCGTTGACTTTGGACACCCCGAACCTTGAATGAACCACCAACACGCTTGCAATGCTGGTGGCTCACATGTGGGTGAGCTTCGTGCTCTCATCTTCATGTCCATTGCCACGTGCTCCAGTCTCGAGCAGAAGCGTCCCTTCAAATGGTTCAATCTCTTTGCATCCACCCTCTACCCCATCCCTGTTGCACTGTCTCGCTTTGCGTTGTCGGAACACCATTTACCACTCCTGCACTACTACCATCCGTGCTCTGCGAGACATCTGCTTCTGAAATTGTAGATATGCCTAATCCTGACGATCGCATCGTACTTGAGTCTGGTGACACTGGCGAGACCACCGAGTAGAGCGTATTTCGAGTACCCGTATCAGTGACCGGAGAGACATATGCCGGGGGAGGCGAATTCGTCGTGGCGGTTGGGTCGTAGTTGTCAGCTGGCAGCTCACTCAGCTGAGTCGGGGGATCAGGGTCCAGCTCCGCGACATGTCGATGGACGCCGGTGACCCTACTGGCCGCAACGGCTGCTGCTGGGTCGAGCTCGGATATCGGTCGTGGATCGAGTTCGGACATTGGCCTCGACTCTCCGCTCAGTTCCGATTTGTATGCATACACCTCGCCTTGCTCTGGTCGTGACTTGGTACTCCCCAGAGCAGCGGCACCTAATGCTCCTCCCGCGGCTGCAGCTCCCATCTCCGGTCCAACGTTTTCATTCGATGACATTGCTGCGGCATCTGCTAACTTCTTTTGACGATATTTCATGAAGAACTTGTACCCGATGAACATCAAAAGAAGAACGGCAAGGATGATCCCAATCGCAAGTCCAGCTTTCGCGCCATCATCCATACCACTTCCACCGTCAGGTGTCGATGTAGTTGTCACAGTCGCCGTAGTGATGCCTCCAGACCCAGTGCTCGTGGTAGTAACCACGGTTGAAGATGATGTTGTTGATGTAGATGTGGCGGCGGTCGGGACGGCTCCGGTCACGTAACAGTTCCGGATCTGATTAAAGATAGAGCTGTACTGCGTACAGCTGGCTTCAAGCTTAGTGATGTCGTCGAGATCGTCGCTGTACCAAGAAGACATTCGACTCCTGAATGAGGCATAGGTGACGGAGAGTTCTAAACCAGAGAGTGTAGACGTATAATCGCAAGCCGTAGCCCCCCATGACATTGACGTGGTTGGCGCATTATCCAGGACGTCGGCTAGGTCTTCAGCGCATTCTGAATTTTGACGTCGGATCTGTTGTGAGCGAGCGTAGATGTCCGGCCGAGCCGATGCCGGTTCGGCAGCCGTAAGCAGGCCGGCCAAGAGACCGAGGGCGGAAGCGAGTTCGGAACGCATCGGGGCGGACGCTAGGAGTCTGATTATCAGATGGGTTTCCAAAATCAAGAGCCCATGCGTCCACGCGGTCTGGGGAAGTGCGGGACGGAGGGCATTTGTGTTTAGATCTAGACAAGAGAGATTCCGCCGTCGACGGATTGACCCAGAGACAACGTGATCAAGAAACGGGACCACGCGGCCATTGGAACCCCGGCAATCTGTCCAACAAATACACTACGTCAACAGCACCCGTCACATTCCGTGATTTTCGCTGTCCCATCCTGCAAAAGTCTGCACTATCGCAACTCCACCATCCATACTGCCTTGTAATCCACCGCCGGATGGGGACTATCATCGCTCGGCCACTGCTAATTATATAGAGGTGCAGCTGCCAAGCATGAGCGGACCAACAGCGACGGTTCGTCCCAATGGGCCAAGAATGGTCCGGCCTGGGATCTCAGCCACGGTGATTGCGCTGAACAGGGCTGTGTTGTAGGTGATCAACAAGAAACCAAGACACCAAGTTACCCAACATGTGGGGAGACGTTGTTTCTCTCGGGTTCATCCAATTGGATCGGGATCATCTTTTAGATGAAACAAGATGGGTTTATCCGCGTTCGCCCTACTGCTTGTTGAGCGGACGAGTCTTTGGGATGTGAGAGCCGGCAGCAGGTCGGCAGTGGAGTTCTTGGGGGAGATTTGATGTGGATGGTTTAGGTTGTTGTATCTTGATTGGAGCTTCGCTACCAAGGTTTCTTTTGACTTTTTCTTACTACGTACTTCGATTGCTCCGGTCGCTAGCTGGGTTGGCAGCTCTACCGGTACTGGAGCGGGGTCTCCAGCCGTAGTGTAGTCGAGTAAGGTTACGAAGCTGATCCCCGCCATGGCAACAGCAACAAATCATTTTGGTCAGTTTACGCGACCTTAGTGAATCATGGGCTCGATCAGATGAAGAGCAGATTCTGTCTGGAAGAGGAATTCAGAGACACGCCACCGTGACGTACCAGGGCTATGGGAAATGGGGTGACTGAGGCTGGGCCTAGGAAAAAGCATCCAAAAACATTCTTGGCGTTGAGGTCGTGGGACTGACCAAATGAGGGGCGGGTCTGGATCAACGGGAAGACATAGGGAACTCCGAGAGCAATCTGATCTAATCGGCAAGATAATAGCTCTTGTTGATGTTGTACAGTTTTCACATTGTCGTGTTTCTCTTCGTTCTTTCTATGCCTATCACGCACTACTGGCACTGATGTCTTCTAGAATATCTCAGTGACTGGCAAATCGATCTCTCCAGGGCTTTGAGCGCTACTGACGACAGTTTAGCAGACCGTCGTGTTTCCTGACTATGTTCGGTACATTTGGGTCAGTGGCCCGCCCTCCTGGCATGGTATCGCCTTGCTCCTAGGGCACTAGAATGAATCCGCGACTCATGACCGGCAGACCAGGAACCTTATGAGGCGCCTTTTTGGGGGGGCACTGGGGGGTCAATCTCAACCCCAAATCCCCAAAGAGAAGATTGACAGGGCACACAGGTGGGCCGTCAAGGGGCAGAGCTGTCCGCTCATGTCCGCTAAAGTGGTGGATCAAACCTAGCACAGGGGAAAGGCAATTAAGCTCAATTTAACCTCGTCGTGTCCGTGGAACGAAAACGAACAAGTGTCTTGTGACGAGTGATGGTGAGATAATAAGAGATCTAAATGGTATCAAATGCTGGTCCAAGGAAAATTGACAAAAATAAAGAAGAGATCGGCAGACTCATCAAGGTCGTCATGATATCTCGCCGGCGCATCCGTGACCGCCTCTCGAGCTGTCAACCCCGGCCGGAGCGCCGACAAGGTGGTCTCAGCCACGCACACAACTCCCACGTCCTGCTCTCCAAGCTCCTCGGCGCGCACACCAGTGCAGCCAAGCTTAAGCCCCCCCCCCTACACATGCAGTTTTCCCATCGTGAACCTTGTAGTCTTTTCACTCGTTGATGCGATGTTGCCAAACTTCTTGCTCAGCCCTTGCGCTGTAGGTGCTCGCGCCCAGAATGGCCCTCATCTGGTCGACGCCCAGAAACATGACCTGACGTGCAACGAACCAGCGGATGCCCTCATGGCAGGGCGGACTCGTCAAGCTACCACGGTAGGTCCAGAATTCGTTGAACTGCAGCACGCTGTTCAACGCCGGCATGTGGTCAATCTCGATCTCCTGCTGGACGCCGACGTCGTTGAAGCCGATCATGGGCGGCAGCTGGTTGAAGAAGGTGTTGTTGGCATTGCCGGGGTCCAACCGGATCGCCAGCACGGCCTTCTCGTGGCCCTCCTCATCCACGTGGACGAGGTGCAGCTCCGCCTTGGACCTGTCACCGTTAACCGAGTGGTCGGCGGGCGAGTGAATGTGCCAGCCCTTGAGGTAGAGCTTCATGTCGTCGTAGGTGAAGGACGGGTTGCCGGTGTAGACGCCCTCCGGATGCGTGACGGTGAAGGCGGGGCCGTAGCCCCAGTTGTAAAAGTTGCCCGCCGTGTGGTTGGGGTAGTCGAATCGGAGGATGTGGTTCAGCGCCAGTCCATTGTTGAGGCTGAGCGCAATGGGCGATTGCTGCGTGCCGGTCTGGCACAAGGTGTAGTCTGAGTGCCGGCGTCAGTACATGTACTCCCAGTCCAGACCATCAGGGACGATCATTTGGCACGAATGCAACTTTAACTTACTTGGATTGAGACGGCCCCAATTGAACGAGGCCTCATAGGCCCAGTCTGAAGCCGGCAACGGAGCCATCTCTGCACGCTTCCTGTCTGCCATGGCATAGTGGTTCTGGTGTCCCGCACATGCGAGGACATCAGACGCCATGAGCAGCGCGCCAAGGAATACTGTCGTGATCATTATGATAGCGGGATCTGAAGAAACTAGCTGCGATTTGCGATAGACCTCCGATCGTAACCTATTACCGTGAGGGCCTCGTCAAGCTTTATACTCTATTACACGGCAGCGAACTGCGGGGCGAAGCACGGAAATCCTCCTGGTCGGCCTGTATAACCTTAGGGAAGTGGGTTCATTTCCGCCTCCCGTATGCAGTGTAGCTGGCCTCGAGAAATCCTCCGAAGAGGGAAGGACGAGAACCTCGAGATGCATGACTGGTAGAACGTTGTAGCCGCCGGAGCCAAGACCTGCTAAGCAAAAGTAAAGGTAAGGGAGCACTGCTTTATCGTCAGATTCTGAACCCTTGATGCCGCGTTTTCCATGATGCTTGGCGCGCAGGACACTCTCTGGGCGCGCCGTACTAGAGATGCGCCGGAAATGATGGGCAGAATCAACGCATGAACCCGAGTACAGGGTAAACTCTGCATCGTTATACCGCTGGCTTTGCGTGAACCCCCTCTAAAGGTACCGCTATTATCGCTGTTTTGTCCGTAAATTGCCCGTATTATTAGCCTTTCTTTATCAATCATATCCCGCAAGCACGGGGCAGAGATGGGACGGTGGCGTAAAATTACAGGATGCGTTAGTTCTAATGGACAGGACAACCTGGGCACGGCTGGGCACGGCTGGGTGAGATACGCCCTACCGGTGGCTAAGTCCTTCCTTTCTACAGCTTTTTTACACTTGGCGGCGAGGCCGTTGTGTACCTTCGTGTGGCTTGGCTGACGCCTCATCGAACGTGTTTGTGTTTCTACCAAGACTCCGAGGCGGGGAACCTAACCCATTCACCCTCAATTCCTTGGTCGAGCCCTGGATCACGGCATCTGGAATGGCGCTTGGTCCAAGATTCGTCCGTACTCACGGTATGTTTCTCATCCTCGACTATCTTGGCCCTAGGCAGAGAGAGTACCAGTGAACAGAGCAAAAGGGGTTTGGTCCAAGCACGTGGTCAGAATGCTGATGCGGCTTCCTCCGGCGACACAAAGTCTAGACTCGGACAAGACTTAGACCGCTTATGTGAGATCTCATCTGAACGTGAATTGAGGTTGGTTAATATCTGATCGTGAATTAATTCGTGGAAATCACGAGTGCCAAGAACTACTGCAAGAGTGTGGGCAGCCATGCAAGACATGAGCAATCTGAGACTGGCGCTAGTTCTCAGGAGGGGCAAGCCGGAGGGAGGCTCAACATCGCTTTCAACTTCCTGGCCCCATTGCTGAGAGAAAAATTTTGAATGACTTTCTGTTGATACCTTATCTTCTTATGAGTCGACGGCAGTGAATCGCAGGTGGCCATGTTTGCTCTGGCCGCGAAATGGGTACAAGTCATCTTGAGCGGGTGTAGCTTCACTCAATTCTACCGACATAGAGTCTTAATTTGGGAGCAGGGATGACTATGGACAACAATGAGGGTCATTGGTAGAATGAGCTGCTCCCAGCATCTAAAAACGACTTTCTTGTGCAAATGAAGTATTTCGCGGCAGATAGACACAAGCAAGATCAAAAGACTTGCCAGCGATGGAAAGAGTGTTGTGATAGAGCCTAGTGCATAGAATTATTTGTTTCTTAAAACACCTCAAGACAAGCATCGCAAAGTCACTATGAGCCCACTTGGCAGAATCACGAATTGAATCTATACTTAGGATAGTCAGGCTTTGGAATCCCGGCATATGATCGTGATGTAGACTAACATGCAGGTTGTGTTTGACTTACATGGACAGTAGTACTATTGGAACCGAAGGAATTGCCACAAACTCTTGTGAACGAGATTCATCCACAGTGGATCATTGGCAAGGAAGGAATATTGTCAAGAAATGCTTTTGTGGAAGGTGAGAGCCGTGAGATACCAGATACAGAGATAGGGTATATACCAAGAAGAGTATGGCTTTCTATGGGTTTCAGGCGAAAGAATAAGCCGGTCAAGTAGTTGACATGAATAAGGCAAAATTCAGAGGCAACGCGGTAGGACTGAGCAAGTTGCCTGAGCGAACATCTGTGAAAATGGGACGCTGCGCCGTGTCGAACGGCAACCTTGTAGGCCACATAAACTAACGTTCATTAGAAGCTTCAGTGTAAAGCGTTGGACAAGACGATAAGGACTTCTTTCTATCAAGGTGCCAGCCACTGTGTTTCTCACACTTCCCTCATCCATCGAATTGCAAATTCATATTTCCCGTTTACATCAACATTACCCACCACGGAATATCACTACATAGTGAGTATATCCAAATCTTCGTACAATACTTGACTCTATCTCAAGTATGCGGCGCAAGAAATGTAGATGTGGCCTTAGGAAGAGAAGCTAACAAGAAGCAGATCAGTCACACGAAAAACACATTCACGTCACAGCGGCCCAGGTAGACTTTCGTTGAGGAAAAAAATGGACTCACGCTGGGCTCTCACAGAAGAATGGTCTAAAGAGCAGGGTAACTTCACCATTTGGGACCAGGGATCCGACGACGCTGAAGCCCAATTCATCTACATCACACCAACTACCGAAGACGACGCAACTCCCGAGAAAGACAGCGCAGTTTCCCACGTAGGACGCCGACAAGAGCTCGAGCCAGGCGTATCGCCAGAACAAGCAGATTTCGACGATGTTAAAAGGCCTTACAGGTGCGATGAGTCGAATCTCGCACCGGTAGAAGTATGCAAGATCCTCCTATGGGAAGTTCAGCCTGCTCTGGCACGGCACACGACAAGGAAGGAGCCGCGTCGGTACTGTCTTGACCACGAGAAAGGCAAGTGTTGCATCGGCCACCGAATAGGCCCCGCGCAAAGGGCAAATATCAGACAAGGAACATTCCCACGAATAGGAGAGGCCTTAACGAAGTTGATTTACTTCTGTACGAATACGAATAGGATGTATGGGATGACCTCTGGCGAATGTAGGGTGACAGTATATGGTGTCGATGGTACTGCGTGGGTTGATAATGGCTTTATCCCCGACCCAGTGAAAGTGAAGGATACCTAGTTGAGGGATGAATTCTTTGGTTCACTGTGAGCCAGTTGAGGTATTAGCAGTTTGGAAGGGGGCGGGAGCGTTTGGGTGAGGATGTAGTTCTGCGATTGACACATTGATCGATCACGTAATTACATCATGAACGATGGAATCGGGAACAGAAGGCGAGGGCCAGCCAAACCCATGCATCACTCCCCACGCTGGAAACAAGATAGATCCATTGGGATACTCAGTCAATTATAATCAATCATCACAAAGAACTCAGCATACCCGTCCCATCATGACACCCAATGTACTCAAAGAACTGCTGCTCAGGCTCTAGAACCAGAACCTCATGAAATAATGCCAAGGACATCTGGTCCCCCAACCTCTTGGCATACTTCGCGAACTCGGCGAAGATGGCCAGGTGCGTTCTGTGCTCTTTACTCCAGCGCTCCAGCGAGGCGAGGTTGTCAAAGTACGCCAGCCCGAAAGTCCGATCATGCCCGCCCTTGGCCGTCACGGGGTCGACGATCTCCATGAAGCGGCAGCTGAAGCAGCCGGCCTCATCGCCGTGGTCACGAAGGTATTCCATACCTCTGACCAGCGGCGGCTGCATCGCGTCGAGGTAGATTTGCCGCTCTTCGGGGAGCGATGAGGACCAGTCTTGTCCAGACCGGATGACGGTGAGGTTCTTCTTGCCTTGGACGCGGACCCTCTCTGGCAGATGGGATTCGCCGTTCTGTGATGTTGATCCGTTGGTTTTCTGCTTGCTTGCTTCTTCCGGGTCTCCGAGAAGTTCATCTGTCTGGGATACGGGCAGGCGATCTCGCATGCTCCCCCAGTAGACATGCTCCTTGATGGGACCGCTAAGGCTGTCTCTCATGTGTGCTGCACCTTCCGGTACAGCGTTGGAAAACACAGTCTCAAACCGATCGGCCGTCGGGAGAAACACCTCCAAGAACCACCCATGCCGTGGCTCGTCCCCGGGCTTCGCCTCACTCCACCATGTTCGGAAACCGCTCTCGGTAGACCACTCCTCGTACGCGGTCTTGCTGGGCCAGTACGCAAACACCGCAACGTTGTAGAAACCCCGATTATCTACCACAGCCGCGGCTTCGTGGAAGGCCGGGCGCGAGGCCGGTGCGACTCGATCGGAGGTCGTGAAGGAGGCTATCGTCTTCAGTGCGCCGCCGTCGTGGAGGTCTACGGATGCGTACTGGGCGCCGATGATGGCCATGACTATGTCTTTAATGGTCTTGGGGAAGCGCGAACTGTATAGCTCGAAAGGTGGTACGAAGCCTGGTGGCGCCTTTGCGGGAACGGTGCGCTCTTTCCGGAGCCATTCTGGAATTGCGGATTCGAGTTCCATGACTGCGACTGGGTGTTTGGTGAAGGATGGAGATAGTAGTGTGGTGGTGGGAATCAGTCAATGGTACAGCGATTCTTTTTTCGAAAGAATTGTTCAAGGCACTGGGTTACGTCTGGAGGATATAGACGAAGTTCATCCTATAATCATTGCGGACTTGAATATTCCGCAACTTCATCTTGTCGGACTGATTTCCAAACCACTTGTCGAGCTATTCTAGAAACGATTCAAACGAAGTTGTGGTGTGAACACCATCAGGGAGCATATCAGATAATGGGAACGTAATTGAGACGGAACAGACGGGCAGTGAGGTCATAGAATCCAGGGATCCGGCGAGGAGAAGTGAAACCTACGCGTTTACAAAGATAGTTCGGGCGCATTACTCCCAATTCTAACCAACGGCATAATCGATAATACCAAGCTAATCATGGATGCACTAGATAGGATAGTGCTCAACCGGTGAAGCTAACCCCACCGACCACGCGGATCGCGTGCATTACTCTTGTCTGCAGGCTTGAACCCCTCTCCCTCACCGAATTACCCCGGATTTCATTGATAACGCGCTAGTGGCACAGCTCGGGAAGTGACACGACATCAGACGGAGGGACCAACGATGCGGATAGGGTATTGCTTAACCGTTGGGAAAATCTGGGGAATATGTAACTTGTAGGAGATAGAAGGGCGGCTGGGTCGGGTTAGTTTGTGATGTTCTTTTGGCAGTAAACAGACGATCTCCAAATGCGTTGGATAGGATAGTGCTGAGCCGCTCGCGATGCGGCACAGGAGAACCCCTCATCTAGATATGTTTGTTGGAGCAGGCGGAAAAGAATAGCCTCGCTTTTGAGCTACAAAAGAGAGAGAATCTGCCCGTGAATGAAGTTAAGTTCAGATGAATATCATTCAGCAATCCAACAGTCTCTCTCATTCCACCTCATAAACCCTCAATACCCAATCACTCTTACCTTAAAATCCACTCCGGATATCTCATAATAGAAATGGCTCCCAAGCTCAAGATCGCGGCCATCCAAGCCGAGCCCGCCTGGAACGACCTCGAGGGCGGTGTTACCAAGTCCATCGCTCTCATCGAGGAGGCTGCCAGCAAGGGCGCCAATGTCGTCGGCTTCCCTGAGGTCTTCATTCCCGGATACCCATGGTGAGTGAGAATGAGACACACACATCCTTCCCATTTTTCTCGTCCGCGACGGACCCCTTCATCTTGCTCTCCGCGTCAATGGTTTGGCTAATTTCTTACCGTCGAAAGGAGCATCTGGGCCAAGTCCCCCACCGATAATGCCGCCTTCATGGACGAGTACTTCCGCAACTCGCTCGTCAAGGACTCTGACGAGATGAAGCGCATCTGCGCCGCCGTCAAGGAGGCCGGTGTGTTTGTCGTCCTCGGCTACAGCGAGAGGTTCAAGAACACCTTGTACATTGCCCAGGTAAGACACTTGTCTCTTTTCTCTTCCCTCTCTTTCACTGTCTCGTGAGTATTGTTTTCTCACACATCAAAACAGTCCTTCATCGATGAGAACGGCGTCATCGTGCACCACCGCCGCAAGATCAAGCCGACCCACGTCGAGCGCGCCTACTGGGGCGACGGCCAAGGCGAGTCCCTGCAGACCGTCGCGCCTAGCACGCTCCACCCCTCGGTTAAGATCGGTGGCCTCAACTGCTGGGAGCACACGCAGACGCTCCTCCGCTACTACGAGTACGAGCAGGACGTCGACCTGCACGTCTCCAGCTGGCCCGTCCTCTGGCCTCACCCGACCGACAAGGACGGCGTCAGGCAGGCCGACTGGCCTCACCACATCACGGACGAGATGAGCATGCGCTTCTCGCAGGTGGTGGCGCTCGAGGGCGCATGCTTCGTCATGGTCTGCACGCAGGTCGTCAGCGAGGAGTCCAAGAAGCGGTGCCGGATCGACGAGTTTGGGTACGCGACAAACTCTGTCGGCGCGGGCGGCGGCTTCAGCATGATTTACTCGCCCTTTGGCGAGGAGCTGGTGAAGCGCCCGCCGCCTGGGGAGGAGTGCATCTTGTATGCTGATGTCGACCTCGCGGAGAAGGCCAAGGCGAAGCAGAACCTCGATATTGTCGGACACTACTGCCGTCCTGACCAGCTGAGTCTGCGGGTGAACAAATACCCTGCGCGTCCCGTTCACTACGCGGCCGACCCTTGAGAGGAGGATATGAGGATGAATCAATAATGAGATCAGAGGCTGTTTCTAGTTAGTAGTAGTGATGGATGATTGAGAATTCCCAGGAAGCGATAAATCCGTCGGCGAGTATGTCGGTTGAGTGTGTCTTTTGTTGTCAAACAGAGAGTAGAGGAAGTTGAGCGGCATATAATTAGTTGTGATTTCGCTTAGTTAGTAATTATCTTCATTCTCTCTCTCGAAATAATTCCCCTCCTACTACCTCAGCTCAGAGTCTCAGCTGAAGCCCCCCGTCCCCCTCCATTCCCCTTTGTGTTTTAGAGTTTGGTCTAGTAGAAGCAGACGGGTGGATTGGGCGGAGCTTTTTCGATAACTGAGCGTGCGTTGATTGGGGAAGTGCGGGGTTTTCCCTCTCCCTTTTTTCTTTTCTTTTCATAACTGAAGCGCGTCGTTGGCTCCCCTCCCCTCCTCCATGATCCATCCCATCGGTAGTTGAATAATATTGAAACTGCGGTCTCTACCACATCGTCGGGACCTGTCAGAAACACACATCCACACTGACTTGCTGGATGGAAAATGCCTCTTCTGTCAACCGAGTAAAATCTAGCCGACTGGGCCCATATTTGCGGTTATTTGCTTTCCTTGCTCTCATACACACAGTACTCCCCCCCTCAGAACATGCCCGCGTGTACAGACTATACGGGCTTTTGATACACACCTGAGCCATGTCGACCTCTCTTCCCCAACGGCAGCCCGAAGGCAAAAAGAGACAGCGGGTCTCCATCGCCTGCCTCGCGTGCCGGCAGAGACGCATGCGAGTAAGTCGTTTCCCCGTTCATAACCTACCTCCCAACACTTCCCTTTCGCCATTCTTCCTTGTAGTGACACAAGAAACCCCGCCAGTGCGATGGACAGCAGCCCATCTGTGGCTCTTGTACGAGGAGAGGCACCGAGTGTGAGTTCCAGCATGCGGACAATAAACGCCGGTAAGTCGTGAACCAGGAGCCTTCCCCTCTCTCTCCCTCCCTCGCCCTTCCCCTCTCCCCTTTTCAAAGGTTCCAAGCTCCAAGCTCCAAGCTCCAAGCTCCAACCCCCCCCCCCCCCCTTCTCCGGTCTCCCCGCGAGTCCCACAAAGATGTGGATCTCATCACGACCGGTTCGTGCTTGCTGCCGCTGACAGCCACGGCCGTATGTCACCGTCCCCAGACCACCCAGCAAGAAATACGTAGAATCCCTGCAAGCCCGGATCAGACATCTAGAAGCCCAAGTCGTCGCCCTAGGCTCCCAGCCGGCCTCCGGCGACCTCGCCGCCGAGACCACCGAAGACCACGACCCGCAAGACGACAGCGCCGGCGACGACAACGATGACGGAGGCGGTCCCCTCTCGGACCTCACCGGCCTTGTCGGCCGCCTCAACGTGACCGAGGACGGCCAGCTGCACTACTTCGGCTCCCAGTCCTCCTACAACCTCGTCCACGAACAACCGCGCGACTCAGCCACGGACCCGCGTGAGCCCTCCCTCAAGATGCAGCGTCAGGGACTCCTCGCGGCCGCGCAGCTGGGTAAGATGGTCACCGTCCCAGACGAACTGCAAGCCCACCTCCTCGAGCTCTACTGGCGCTGGCAGAACCCGTGGAACTACGTCATCCACAAGAGCGCCTTTTTGCGGAGCTACCGCGGCGAGGATGACGGGACGTATTGTTCGCCGTTGTTGTTGTGTTCCATCTTTGCTATTGCGGCGCGGTATTCTGATCGTCCTGAGCTGCGGTCCGTGCCGGATGATCCTAGTACCGCTGGGGATGCGTTTGGTGAGCACGCCAAGATTCTGCTCCTGTATGAGAGTGAGGCGCCGACGATTACGACGGTGCAGGCTGCCTGTCTTCTCGCGCTGAGGATCATGTCGGATGGCAAGGAGGCTTTGGGGTGGCTATACTCTGGTATGTTATGCTGTTCCATTTTGAGATTTGTGAAGTTGACCTGCTAATGAATGTCAGGAAACGCAACGAGAATGGCACATAACCTTGGGCTCCATCTTGATTGTTCCAAATGGGCCACTGCCGGTCTGCTCACCGAAGAAGAGGCCGAGGCGCGGAAAGTGACGTGGTGGGGATGTTATGTCGTCGATAAGTGAGCAGTCTCCTTTTGTTTCCACTTCTTCCTATTCTTACTTGCGATGTTCATCACATCTCACATGAGACTGTGACAGAGCAGCTAGCTGACATATCCCAAGGCTCTTTTCAACTGGGCTGGGCCGGCCAAGTAGCACGCCAAAATCCACCATCTCTTGCCCAAAACCTAGCATCGATAGCAACGAAGAGTATACTCCATGGCTACCGACGTCAAACAGGCTGGGCTCCGAAAAGTCTCTCGGGGTCCATTCACACATCTCATCAACAGCTTGCCATGTATCAGAGACGTTTACCATTGCTTGCGAATCAATGGACATAATGTATGTCGGCGCCAGCCTCACACCTGATCTGCTTTGCGAACTCTTCTCACGCATTGTCTCTTTCAGATATGCCGCCAACAGCAAACTCTCGACACGAGAAATTGAGGACGTCGTCAGCAAAACTGACGTGCAGTTGCGGACACACTACAGAGAGCTGCCGAGCTACCTTCGCTTGCCGGCCTCGCCCAAGGTCCCAATGCTTCCTCACGTTTGTCTTTTCCAGTACGTTCTTTTCTGATAGCATTTCGATATCCCCCCACTTTCTAAAGAAGTAAGTAAGCATGTCAATGGGCCACGACTGACCAATCATTCTACTGCAGCATTCAATATCATGCACACTTAATCCTCTTACATAGACCGCTCGTTCATAAGCGAAAGAGACGTTCGGTCAGCGTGAATACGCCAACCGATGACGGTAGCATCGATGGAGATGGATACGACAACCAGCACATGGCAACATGCCGTCACTCGGCGGCTGAGATTTCGAGGTTGCTGCGCATCTATAAGCAGCAATACACGCTGGTAAGTGCTTTCTCCCCTCTCGTATTCGGATTTGCCCCTGGCCGATGGTTGGTTCCCATCTCACACTCTGAACAGCGGCGTATCCCCATTGCTGCAGTCCACCTGTGCTTCTCGGCCGTGGTAATCCACCTAATTGATGCCCGGCCATCGAATCCCAACCGGCAGCAGGCGATACGGCACTTACAGACGTGCGTTGATGCTCTGCGAGATTTGCGGACAGCGTGGTGCGCGTGGAGCGACAGGGCCTTGCGAGCGGCGCGGCTCTTGGCGAGAGAGTGGTACCAGTGTGAAGATGTCTCACTGTTGCAGCATTGGGGTGGACTTAGCGGGGTCGAGGGCAGCATTTCTGGACCAACGGCAAACGCAGCAGCAGCAGCAGCCGCCGCCGCCGCTACGGGAGTTAATACCGTCGGTATCCCGAACACAAATGACCAACAGCAACAAAACCAGCACCAGCCGTATCAACAAGGTGGGACTGCGGACGCGGACAGAATGATGGGTCAAGGACAGACAACGGATGGCGACGTTCAGGGTGATCCTCTGGCTTTTCTTTTTGACGTGGCCACGCCTGACCAGTACACGGATAGTCTGGTGAAGGAATGGCTGGCGGAGAGTGGTTACGATGTTTTGAATACGGTCGTCGAGTGAAGTCGATGAGTAATCTTAGCGGGCGTCTTTGGTGTGTTCGAATGTCTCGGTATATCTCGCCCTTTGTGTGGAGAGCCTTGGAGGGAGATGGATGCTTTTGCTTTCTCTAGCTTGTCAGTGTGTATCAGCGTTTTGCCTATCGCTAAGAAGACGAATACTTAGCAGTGACTACGGTAGGTATACTCGATCAAGCATGTCGCGTCAAGGGGTCAATACGGCATTTCCAAGTCGCAGCAACGCCGAGTCCAGCTGAATGACTCGTGTTATATGGGCTAGTCCAAGCCGTCTGACGCAAGAGAGGGGTCTCAGGTTCAGCGCCGGCGGCAGATGCCGATGTATGTACGTCTGGGTTGAGGTGTAATGCAAAACGGCGGTTGAATTGTGCAACATTATGCTCAAGATCGCTGACTGGTGGTTCCCCTTTGAGTCTAGCAGCACAGCTTAGCTCGGAGGGTACGGAGCGTCGTCCGCAAACTCTGGGGCCCTTGGTGCCCCTTGGTGTCCTTTGGTGTCCCTTGGATGGTGGTCAATGGCATGGTTCAACCCGCACGGGACAGCCGCTGACGGGTTTGATGCCCGATTTGATGCAGAGTGACGGTAAAGTCTGTCGGGGTGCGTTGGCCCTTTTTGCTGGTCTGATTGCTCCGTCTCATTTCTTCCCCCTCCTTTTGTGGTTTTTTTTTTGTCTCTGGTCTCCGTATCCGTCAGACTGTGCTGCTGTTTGTGGCCGAGTTTTTTTTCGTCTGGACCCTTTTTTGGTGATGGTGTTTTTGGCACTTTCCATCGTGTTTTCCCTTCCCAACTGCCATTGTTCCTACCTCCGCCGTAGGTATCAGGTCCTACCAAATCGGTTTCGCTTTCCCCATCTCAGATCGACCTTTCCTTCTCCCTTTTTCACTTTCCCATGCTGCCATCGGTGGAGGGGTGTACCCAGAACCCACTCAATATCAGGAGCGTGCTCCGAACCCCTCCCATTGGCTGGCATCACCCGTACAGCCAATGGGAGCACCTCCTCACATGGACCCACGTGATGGATATCTGACCTGGGCCCACCGATCGAGATTCGAGACCTTTCACTGTCCAGTCACCAGTGTGTTCCTTCCTCTTCCCGAAATCCCAACTGAGCAAGCATCCGGGTGGGATAATTGAGAGAGAAGGAGCGGAAGCCGCACTCGCACTGCACCTGCATACAGTTTGCGATTTACCCTCGGTCGTTCCTGCTTACTCTGTTTCTTTTCTCTTGCATTTCATTTCGTATTCCTTCTATCCGAGTCTACCGGTATTTTACCCTCCAAGGAAAAGGCGAGTCTGACAAATCTGGCAACCCGCGCAGACTTGCATTGCAGTCCCTCTCACCGGGGGAAGGAGAGAGAGAAAGTGAAGAGAAAACGCAACAAGGGGAAAGAGCTGGTCCATGCGTTTTGGGGGTTGAGGTGAAATTCCTCAGCAAACTGCCGTTGGAACATCAAAAAGTGCCACGGCCAACCGTCTCATCCGGAACAGACCAATAAATCATCCCGGGAAAAGAAACGAACAAAACAAGCAGCGGAAAAACACAAAAGAGAAAAAAGGGAGGGAGGACAAGGCAACTTGCGGTCAAGCTTGAATCTCATGTCGCTCCCCGCAAAGCGTCGTCGCGTCATTCTACCCGCACCGGGTGCCCAACCCTCCGGATCGTTCCCATCAACTTCATCATCACTGGTAGCAACGCCGTCTAACCAGCCCTCCGCCTCGGGACGCGGATCGACCGGAGGAATCGGAAGTAGCGAGGAACCGTTGTTAGGGAACGACACAAGTCGCGATCTTCAGTCCAGAAGTCAGAGCATCGACTCATCCTCAGCCGATGCCAAGAAGCCTAGGACCGCTTCTAAACGACAGGTTATTGCAGTTGCTTGCGATAACTGCCGCCGGAGAAAGGCAAAGGTGAGTCAAAAAACCACTGACGCAAACTTTTCTCTCTCCCTTCACATGAGAGAAAGAGAGGGGGGTTGGCAACCATGATCCGAGACTGAGAGATTCCACAGTGCGACGGCCATCGCCCAAAATGCCAACACTGCTCCAAAAGGGGCGTCGAGTGCCATTATGAGGCCAACCAGGGCGAGACCGTGAGTCTTGCGCTCAAGCGCAAGGCAAACGATCTCGAAAGCGAAAATGTCCAGTACAGGGAGCTTTTTCGCATGGTCTGCACCAAATCTGAGGACGAGGCAAAGGAGATTTTTCGCCGCATACGCCTGTCTGGTGACCCCCTCAGAGTCCTCGAGTCCATCCGCCAGGCAGAGATTCTGCTCCCCTCTCTCCCCGTCAATGACCGCGTGAGCGATTCGCGCCTAGCAAAGCTCAACGAAAGGGCAATGGAAAACAGCCTCCTCCGCGTGCCGGCAAAACCCTGGACCACAGTTGCAGACGATGGTATTGTCTCCGAGTTGATTACCGACTTTTTCAGTTGGGACAATGCCAGTTGCTTTCCCGCCGTCGAGCAGAACTTGTTTCTCGAGGACATGAGGTCTGGAAATATTAAGCGCGCCAAGTGGTGTTCTCCAATCTTGGTCAACGCAATGTGTGCAGTTCGTGCTGTAAGTCCTCCCTCTCTTGCATCTTTCTTACCACTGCCTACAATCTCAATAGAGCATATCGTGACTAACACTTCTCTGTAAGCCATTTGTCGCAACCGTCAAAGAATTTCATACCTACACAGGTCAAGATCTGGCGAGGTCATTCCGGGAAGAGGTTATGCAGCTGGTGGAAAAGAGCCATGGCCGGGCGTCAATCCCTACAATCCTTGCCCTTGTCCTCGTGGACTGGTCAGCGAGTATTGCAGGTGACGAGGCCAGCGCCAAAATGTACCGCTTCATGGCCTGGGAAAGGTACAAACGCTTCAAACCGGAGCGACGCTTCGCCCAGCTCAACAAAGACGATCCAAATGATGCGATTGAAATGCTCGTCATCTCGAAAGCTGTGTGGGCCATATTCTTGATGGAGAGGTACCTAATCCCTTCCCATAACGAAACAACCCAACTGTCAGAATCCCCAATATCAAACTAACACTTTGCCTCGATAGCCGCGTATCGTATTTCTACAACTCAACCGCAGATATCCCACCCCCGTCAATACCTAGGTTATTCGACAACTGTGGACGCGACGCACTCGAGCCTCTGGGCAACGTAGACGTTCTCGGCCGACCCTATCTAGAATCTACAAACCTGATACCAATCGTCCCTGGAATTGCAACGGTTGTATCCGATCTCGCCAGGCTTCAGTATGATGTCATGTCGTACCTCACGTCTGGCAGTACCATCAAGGGAAGCATCGAAGATTTGAGACGCAAGAAGCACTGGTACTGCAGATTGCAGGAGTTCAGGGAAGCGTTACCCAAACGCTTTCAAATAGAATACAACTTCACTCCTGCAACTTGCTTCTTAAGGCAAGTTTAGGAATTCCGATCGTCATCGGCGAGATAATCAAACGAGAAATCATGCTAACATCAATCAGGATGCATGAGAACGAGCTAGCCTATGCTGTCCTACAGTCACTCAGCCCATCAACCATCTTCGACACTCCCTTCACCCCACACTTAACAACCGTGAAGTCCCTCTGCCTCCAGCACTGCATCTCCGACACAACCCTCGCAGAGTCATACCTACAACGCTACTGTACGCACTCGTACATCACCCGCGTCATGTTTGTGGCGATGCAACACCTCATGCCCTATCTCAACGAAGGACACGCTGCCACAAATGACCTCTTCACCCGCCTCTGCATGATGGGCGGTATCTCGGCGCGCGTCGTCCGAATGTCAATGTACCTCCTTCAAGCGGTGCAGGCCATGGCCTGGGCAATGAAGCAGGACATCCCGGCCACCGCGAGGCCTTACCTCGATCCCTGGGTGAGGCTGGCAATCCAGGAGAGCGAGACAAAGGCACCGAGCTACGCTGTTCCGGACCGCGATGAGATCAAGGCCCTTCTGGCCGACGATGACCAGAGCGATGGGGGATCTGGCGAGAGCGGCGCTGAACTGTGGGCATTGGTGGAGAAGTGGGCTCTCAGCACCGGAAAGGGTCTCTCATGATATGTTCATACAGTTAATAGGGAGCCTGGCGTTTTGGAATGGTCTGCATGGCATGTGGTACAAGCGTGTTTGGTCATGACGGGGAGCGAAGGATCTTTTTGAGCATTTGCCGTGACTGTGGCGGTCATTAGCGGAACAGAGATTTGGGCTGCGCGAGCTGCCAATGTTGCTGCCAGATCATGACCAAAGGCTGATGCAACATCGTGACAGTGAACATTCGAAGCCATCGAGGCTAACTCTACGCTCCGAGGCTGGGCAAGTGCCCGCAGGCACCAAAGGATCAAGAAGATTTACCTTACCTCCATGGGACCATAATCGACTTCTTTGAGTGGCCCGGTTGTTCCAAAGCCTTGGCTATCGAGAGTGCATCGAATTGCGCACCAATCAGAGCCAGCGATTCATCCCGCAAATTGTTAACGATGTCTTAAGCATATGACTGGGGGTAAGAGATTGATGTCACCTTCCCACTTCGTAGCGGCAACCCCCTCCAGCTTCTCCAGATGAAGCAGATGTGGACATTTGAGTTAAGCTTGATAGATCCCGCCGGAGTCCCGTCCGTGCTTGCAGGACCGTTCGGTGGCTGTTCCGGATCCCTTGCGTTCGTCTCTCTACATCGAGTATGCGAGTATGTCATGAAGAGCCTATTCCGCAAAGTTGCAGCACCTCGTATTCTTCAACTTCCACGAAAGCTCTAGCTTAGCTGCCTTTACCTGTTCTGGGCCTGTCTGCTTTACTCCAAGTTGCTGGCCATACACTGTTCCATCCACCCGTCCCCTCCTTCTCCTTCACACGGGCTTTCTCGAGGCCACCAAACGCTTGCGAGTCCGGAGACATGCCTTCCGTCGGTGATCGATGTGCACCTGGCTTGAACGGGGCTTTCGGTATATACATGTCATGATACGAGGAACGAAAAGGAATGCACCTCCAGTGTCACATCCCGTCGAGTCTCCGCACATGCGCAACGACGACACTTCTTTCTACCCTTGCAATTGATCGGTGTATTTCAATCAGGCGAGTTACGTCTCGAAGTAGGTACTAAAACGTTGGAATATCCCAAGCCATATAACCTGGCATCCAACGCTGGTCCGTCTCTCCCCCACGTTGCTTGACGGAACTTACTGCAGTTGCGGCTTCTCTACAGACTTCGCTCAGGCTATCATCAAGATGCCTTCTCTAGCCTCCGTCGTCGTCACTCTCCTCCAAGGCCTATGCGTTGCGGTCCAGGCCCAAACAACAATCACTTCCACTGGAAACCCCATCATCGCTGATGGAACCTACTACACAGCAGACCCAGCCCCCTTGGTCGTGAACAACACAGTCTATATCCTCACTGGCCGAGACACCGCCCCGGCAAGCCAAAATGCCTTCATCATGAACGAGTGGGAGATGCTCAGCAGCACTGATCCGCGCCCCTCCGGAGCCCAGTGGCAGCTACGCACCAATATTGCCCGGCCGGAATCTGTCTTCAAGTGGGCTGCGTCCGGGACTGCCTACGCCTCTCAAATCGTGCAGGGCCCGGACAAGAGATTCTACCTCTACGCCCCCGTCACGCAGGCCTCAACTTCGAATTCTGATCGGTTCGCTATCGGGGTTGCTGTCTCGGCCAACCCCTGGGGTCCATTCACAGATGCTCACCCCAGTGGGCCTATCGTCTCGCAGTCCGTCCCATCGCCAGGGAACACCATTCAGAATATCGATCCAACAGTCCTCCTTGACGATACCGGGAGGGTCTATCTCTACTGGGGCACATTCGGTCAGCTCCGTGGCATCGAACTCGCGACAGATATGGTCACGACCATCGGACAAGCCACAGCAGTCAACAGCCTGACGGGCTTTTTCGAGGCACCGTGGCTTCTTAAGCGCAAGGGAACGTACTACATGCTCTACGCCGCCAACAACGCCGGCCCAGATTCGCCATGCACCCCGACATCCTACCATGCCTGCATCGCCTACGGAACCGCTTCCTCGCCCCTGGGCCCGTGGACATTCAGGGGCGTGATGCTGGACATCGTCTCCTCGACCACATCACACCCGGGTGCCTTTGAGTTGAACGGCCAGTGGTACCTAGTCTACCACACCCGAGACGCCACAGGAGGCGGCCACTTCCGCCGCAGCGTGGCACTAGACTCCATGACCTGGGACGACAACCAGTCACCCCCGCGTATCAACAAAGTCATCCAGACCCGTCGCGCTCAGCCCGCCGCGCCAGCAACTCGCAACATCGCGACCAAAGCCACAGCAACCTCCGTAAACCGCACCCCGATCCAGTACTGGATCAAATCCATAAACGACGCATGGATCCCCGGGAACCCCCTCCCGCCGGACTACTGGTGCTCCTACGACGGCGCCGCATCCCCGCAGACTAACACGCTCATTTTGACGTGGCCTTCGGCCGTGACGCTGAACGGGGCGAGAATGGTGCTGTTCGCTGACCAGCCTGCTGGGTCGAATATCGGGGTGCCGCCTCCTGCGAGCTGGCGGATCGAGTACTTGAATGGGAGTGGTGCGTGGGTCGCGGTCACGGCGACGTCTGCGTATCCTACTGCTGTTACGGATAACCCTGCGATTGTCAACTTTAACCAGGTTTCGACGAAGAGTATTCGTGCGGTTTTGGTGGCTTCTGGTGGGAATGGACAGTATGGTGGTGTTGGTGTCAAGGAGTTTGAGGCTCTTGCTCCTACTGCGCAGTAGACATTCAGAGAGCACGCGAATGGGGGTCGCATGCAAAACAATGAAGTTTCCACTCCTTATTCAACATTACACATTCTTCCGTCATTGAAGTAAGGTGTCCCAAATAAACTTGCATATAAGTATCCCGTTTCAATATTCACGGCATGTCCCTTTACACATAGCCCCGACTCTCGTCCAAGAACCCCTCCATCAAAGCTTTGCCCGAATCTCAGGCTCCCCCAAAACCTCATGCTTGAACCGATACACAATATCACTAAACCTCCCCTCCGGAAAAACATAAAGCCACGTCATGGTCTCCCCTTTGCCGCAAAACACGCCGTGCTCCGCGTCCCCAGGAATCCATACCAGCTGGTCCTTGGACACGGCGTGCCGAACGCCGTTGATCTCGACTTGCCCGCTACCGGAGAGCACGTAGTAGATCTCGGCCTGCTTGTGGCGGTGCAGCGCCAGGCTGCCGTTGGGCGGGCAGGTCGCCACGCCGGAGCTGAGGGAGTCGGTTACTGTGCCCGGGGCGGAGACGAGGGTGTGCCATGTTGCGTTGCCGCGGGACTGTTCGGGGAAGGATTCTGGGGGATTTGTTGTGGAGGATTTGAGGTCTACTATGAGGGGTGATTCTAGGGTTTTTGTTGCCATGTTTTTTTGTGTTTCCTTTTCTTGTCTCGGCACGAAATCTTGGGACGGTGGTCGTCTACAAAGCGCGCAGTTCCTATCGTGATTTTGGTGATGAAGAATTATATTCATGTGGAGGTCTTATACCATTCGTCATCTATCCCTCCTATTCCGACTCCGGTGAACTAAGAACAAGACGCCGTCTTATCCAGTTTTTTAAGTAACGATGGTGTCCGTTGTTCGTACTATAAGTCAAACCCCCCACTTCCCGGCACCCCCCTGTTTCTGGCACCCACAAAAACGCGAAAATCCACCACAACGCAATGCCCACCCCCAACCTCCTTTTATCACAACATTTTCAATTCGAGTCCAAATGGGCTCATTTTTTGCACATACCTTCTTCTATATCTAATGCCTCAATATACCGAAGATCAGCTTCGTCAGGCTCTCGAGGACATCTCAAACGGCAAGAGTCAAAAGAGAGCCTCATTGGAGTATGGGATACCACGATCAACCCTCCAACTACGTCTCCAAGGTGGTCAGACTAGGAAAGTGGCTTTTGCTGACTGGCAGAGGCTGTCTCCTGACCAGGAGAGTAAGCTGGCACAATGGGTTCGCATTCAGGCTTCGCTGGGCCTCGCACCAACGCACCAACAGGTGAAGGAATTCGCAGAGCGAGTTCTGGCTGCTGCTGGGGATACCAAACCATTAGGAAAAGGCTGGATCTATGCCTTCGTGAGAAGGAACCCTATCATTAAGGTTCAGAGAAGTCGTTCCATCGATTCTAGACGCGTTAATGGGGCATCTACTGAGGTCATTAGGAACTGGTTTAAGTTCCTTGCTATCCCTGAGATCAAGGACATCAAACCAGCCAACAGATATAATATGGATGAGACTGGCATCCTCGAGGTCAGGGAGCTAATGGGTTAGTGCTGGGCATGGCTGAGACGACGTCTGTTCGCAAGAAACAACCTGGGTCGAGGGCATGGGTCTCTATCATTGAGTGTATCTCAGCCTTGGGTAGGGCACTTCGTCCTCTTATCATTTTCAAGGGAAGACGGTCCAACAACAGTGGTTTCCATTACATCTGGTTCCATACGATGGGTGGGAGTTTACAGCAACAGATAATGGCTGGACTACAGACTTAACTGCCATTGAATGGTTAGAAAGGTGTTTATCCCACAGACTATGCCCGAGGCTGAGGGCGAGGCTCGACTGTTTTGTGGATGGGCATGGGAGTCATACGACGACAGACTTCATGTGGAATTGCTATATAACAATATCCATTTACTGTTCTTACCACCACACTCCTCTGTCCTCCAGCCACTTGACCAGTCTGTCTTCAGCCCTGTTAAGTCAGCCTATCGGAAGGAGCTCGGTTACTTGTCTCAATGGAACGACTCTACCATTATAGGTAAAAGGAACTTCCTGGACTGTTACCAGAAGGCTCGACTTGCTGGTCTATCAGTCTCGAACATCAGAAGTGGTTGGAAGTGGACTGGTCTACACCTGTAGCGATGGTTAAGCCCCTGATGAACCCTATGGTATTACCTGAGCCTTCTGCTAAGCCCACCACACCCAAACCAACCAGTCGGGGCAAAAAGCGATGCCATAATGGTCAACAAACTACCCCTGTTGAGCCATGGGATTCTGCTTCCTCTGCAGTGGTCTGGTCGACACCCAGGAAGCTGGCAGAGCTCAGCGGTCAACTGCACTTCACCCAACTCGACAATGATACCAGCACTCAACGGCTGCTGTTCAGGAAGGTGAAAAAAGGCTTCACAGAGCAGGCCTGGCAACTGGCAGCTGCCCAGCAGCAGCTGGCTCACCTGAGGGCTCAAGTTACCAACGCTGCAGTTAGGAAGAGGAAGACTGTTCAGATCGATCCCAACACGAAGTTTGCGAACATCAGGGATATCCATCGGGCTCAAATCGAAGCGGGTGAAAAGGAGGTTATTACGGCTGAATCCAGCGACTCTGAATGCCCTAGTGAGGCTGGCAGTTGTATTGTAGTGGGTGTGGTTGAGGATCAATAGTTAATAGTAATGAGGAGGTTGGGTTGTGATCCCATCGTTTTTGTGGGTGCCAGAAACAGGGGGGTGCCAGGAAGTGGGGGGTTTGACTTATTGGTCGGCGATGTGGAGACCCACACCACCAGTCCGGCAAGAAATGCCTTGTTGGGCATGTCGAGCCTCGGGGTCTCAACTCTTTGTCCGGATAAGATAACTACAACCAACGACTTCCGTTGCACCGAGTTCTTCATCCATCGGCACTGATATGATGGTCACTCCATGTATGTTGCTAGCAGACCATGCGAAGTAACATAAAAGAAGGACTGCTGATGGGACGCTTGCTAGGAACTCCTATGACTAGGCTTTCTATCAAAGGTATACTAATAATAGATGAGGGCGTAGCTAAAAGCCTTCTGTATCAGTAATGCCATTTACACTAAATGAATCTCACTCTATCATCACCAAGGCTTCTGATAGAAATAACCTGACTTTAGGCCCATGAATTGATGACACCAGACGGTCAGTGCATCATCCGAATAGTTTCGCAGCATTGCCCCTCCTCACAGCTTCGACCTTGCTGGTGTCGTTGAAAGCCTCCTCAACGTCTTGATCAAACTTGATCCTCCCAGCCTCAGCCATGGCCCAAGGTGTGAAAGGCGTATCCGTTCCCCACAACAGCTTCTCATAGCTCACCCACCGGAGCAGAGAAGGAATCGCCCAGGTAACCGGCCAAGGTCCAGCAAGATCAAAGTAAAAGTTTTTCGCTAGTGTAGCTTTCATGAATGACTCCGTGAGATTGACGTCCGGCGTGCTATAACTGACGATCCTATCGAGAGTTGGAACGAGACCGCCGCCGGCATGAGGCATAATCCACTTGATGCGAGGGAACCGCGTCGGGATCTTGGAGTAGAATAAGTCTGCAAATGTGCGAGCCGTGTCGAATGGGAAGTCGATGGTCGGCGCTCGTCCTTGCCGGCCTGCCACCGGCCTGTTCAGGGAAAGCCATTCCGGCGGTGTGATACCGGGGTCTTCTCCGTCGATTGAGAATCTCAAATGGTTATGCTCAGTGCAAGGCGCGGTAGGGTGCTCGAAGATTGTGGCGTTCACCTCGTTCAGTGCCTTGTAGACTGGGTCGAGATCCGGGTCGCCGAGGTACATCCCGTAAAAGTTGGACATAAGCACGATGCCGTCAGGTTTCGGGTCGAGTTGGGTGAAGCAGTTTTTGATTTCTTCCACGGACGCGCTCACATCTGGGAGGGGAAGGGATGCAAAAAAGCCAAACTTTTCGGGATACTTGGCTTTTACGTCTGAAGCATACTCGTTGACCTGTCGTGCGAGTTTGATGGCTTTCTCTGTCGCGGGTTTTGATGGTACGGAAAGGTATACCCCCGGGCTGGAGATGGACAAGTATGATTTCTCAATGTTTTGCGCTTCCATGAAGTTAAGATGTGCCTCGGGCGTCCATTCCTATCACCCCGTATGAGCATATCGCAGAGCTTTTCCGGGTGCACATAAGGATTGATACTGACGGGGATCCCGGGCATGCCATCGGGCCCAGGTAAATGCCCAGCGTCTCTGAGCGCTTGCGCGTAAAAGTCTGGGACGTAGTGCGCATGCACATCTATCTTTGGTTTCGAGGATACCATTTGAGTGCCTCCGAGTGTGAAACTCAGCAATTGGCTGATGATGATGAAGTAGAAAAGTGACATGCTAGCTATGAGTTGAACTTAACGTTTCCGCCTTGGGCGAAGTTGGTAAGTACCACCAATGCGAGATCAAAGCACATCAGTAAGCTTGATTGAACTCTTCGGCTTAGGCACTTATGCGAGCTGCAGTGATCATTAAATACATGTGAAGGACGCCAATGCACCAGCACATGTCTCCTGATCCGAAGCCTTTCCACGCCGTTTCCTGCGCTGCGTCACAATGGCCAGGTTAGGTTGCTTTTGTCTCGCAGCAGCGCGCATAGCGGCATATACGAGACGCCACGCTTACAACTATCCAGCAGTCATTCGCGCAAGTTCATCACTTACATGCAGCCGTATCGATCCTCAATTACAATGCCGGGGAGATAGGACGGGCAAGGACGGGTTCCATGGACTTTTGCCAATTGGCTCTTTCTAGGATCGACGTCTCATTCCTCATCATGGCTATGAGCCGCATCTTCAATGGTGGCATGATCGCGCACCAAACAAGCTGCACTTATCTTTGAAGCACTAATAATGAACGAGTTTATTGATCAGATCTCCCTCTCTATCTCATTATCATACGCTTACCACCAATGCTACATTCTTTTCCGCCGGAAGCAATTACTTCAGATCGCTCAATTCTCTTCTAGGCCACGCCCTATGAGTGGGCGATGGGAATGATCGGTCCCACGACCACTTCTTTACTAAAGTCTCCTCGAGAGATCCGTCGAGCATCTGCACAACATATTTACCCAGTATGGGCAGGAACTTCCAGCCGTGAAAAGATCCGCAGGTTGCGACGTAGAGATTCTTGCTTGCAGAGTGTGGGGAAATGATGAAGTCTTCATCGGGCGTGACAGCCTCCCTAACACGTGTGTTAGCAAGATATTGCATTTTTTATCTGGCCTCCAGTCCTTCAGGAGCCCCTATACATACCAGCAGATACGATAGTTCTCGTTCTTGAAAGCGTTGCTTCCCTTTCCAAACAAGCTTTGTCCAGCATAGTCGACGTCTTCTTTCAGAGCATCTGGTACCTCGAGCTGCGCATAGTCAACTGCCGGAGGAGGTGCAGATATCTGGCTTCCGTTTGCATGAGTCTGAGTGTTTCTGAAGATGATCTGACCCCAGAACTTCAAGGTCTTGTCTTTGGAATGGGGAACACTTCCATTGCTTGCGCCTATACAAACTTTAGTAGTTGAAACACAGCGGAGTTGACATGGAGTCTGCCCTTCCATACCTCTTGATGGCGGCACCATAGAAATGCCAACTGGCCCGTCGTAAAGATCCTTTGCATTCTCCCCAAAGACAGGCGTGAACCCCTCGGTAACAGCTGCTGCTACGAACCTCTCACCAGCTTGAAGATCCTTTCTCTCGGGTGCGCTATCAGCAAGTAACTTGGCCGTGTAAGCGCCCGTAGACAGGATAACTCGTGAGGCGGTAATACTCTCGCCCTTTGACGTCTTGATACCGGTTGCAGCACCATCGTCATCGAACTCAATTTTTTCAACTTTTGCTTCGACATACTTCACCCCAAGCTTCACAGCTTCTTCAATCGTTCTCTGCAACGCCTCCTTGGCCTCACCCCATCCACTATTCTTATTGACAAAAACCTCCTCCACATTAGTGAAATCAGCATCCTTGAAAATGCCGCCATACTGCTTCTTGGCCTCCTCGACAGAGAAAGAGTATAATCCAGAGTCTACTCCGAGCTTCTTGTAATTCTCCTGCATTTGTTCTGCAAAGTTATTTGGCGAGACCCAGTAGACGCCGCTTTCATGGTAGTATGGCTTCCAGATCGGGTCCTCGGACCAGTACTTTTTGGCTTCGAGGCAGAGGCGCATGTACTCGATATCGACATAATCGGCGCGCACGACCTTGTTCCAGTCCCACGAGGCGGCGACACGGATGGGGGCGTCGTAGGCGTTGCGGTCGACGAGGGTGATGCTGGCGTTGGGATAGGCGCGGATTAGGTGCAGAGCTGTGGAGGCGCCAAAAACGCCAGCGCCTATGATGAGGTATGACTCTGTTGAAGTGGCCATTTCTGCAATACGGAGATGTGTCAGCTTGTTGATTTTGAGTCTGCGAAAACCACACTAAAGACTGTGAGTCCAAGTGAGTCGCATCTTGATCCCCGTTGTCGGACACTGCCCGCACCTCATCCCCGTCTTATCTTCTGACGTCATGTGATCAAGTCGGCACGCAATCGGCGTTGGGCCGAACCATCTCCACTGCAACATGGAGCAGGTCACATTCATCAGTGTTGTCTCGATGATATTGGTGGAGGTGTAGGTTTATAACATTCCTGCCTTTGGCACACCTAAGAGTTGGGCTCTATTCAGAAAACCCCGCTGGGGATGAGAAGTAAAGAAGTCTATTCATCTTTGACTCATTCCCGGACTACGATAACTGATCAACACTTGGAATTCAGTAAGTAAATTGAGACTATCCCTCCATGTCGTCTGCAATGTCATCGGCGTCGTCGGCGTTACCATTCAAACCCCAGTACACAACAGTCTCCATGGTCTCAATAAGACTTTCAGGGTGGGACTTCCATTGTTCGCGAATGAGGCCTTTCGCTCCGGCTCCCATCTGGTTCCACCGCTGCTCATCCCACATCACATAGCCCCATCGCCTTAACTCTTCTGGTACAAACCCTCCAAAGACGTTGGAGTATTGTTCATTCCATAACAAGACCCACGCCAGCGGTGGTGAAAGAGGTGGCACGTCGTCACCCGTGAACTTCATCGAAGTCTTGGCCCTTTCAAGTTTGTCCCTGGCTGTTGGAAACCGCGGCGACGAAACCCGTCTCTCGTGTTGCGCTGACCAATCTAGCACATGCTCGAGACACTCATCAATATCTCGATTCATAGCGAGGGTTGACATCATCTTGTTCACCAGAGTCTCGTGGTCATCAATTCGCAGCAGACGCAACAATGGTCTCAGGCCTCGCGCAGTTGTGCCGTTCATAATCTCTGCGGTACTCCATGTCAGCTATCTAAGACTACGAAGTTTGTGTTGATGACAATTTACAGAATCTTTTGATAGAAAGGAGAAAGCTGCCTTCGAACTTACCACTGCGTAGTGCGGGAGTGACGAGATCCCAAGAATCGAAAGGTGTTAGCCCCGAACTTCGATCATTAAATCTCGGATTGGTATCCGCAACGTCATCTTTCACCTCATCAAAAAGTCTGTCGTACTTAGATTTGATGAATAGGTAGACGGACCCAAACGCCTCTACGTCCCATGGGTCGAAGATTCCGAAGAAGGTATCACAAATCTTATCACTCCGAAAGCCATAGGACCGCACACCCTTGTTTCGACCGAATAAGTGGCAATACGTCTCGAAGCGGTAGATTGCCCTGTAGATGCGTATCTCCTCACTTCGGCTTAGACTTGTGACGTCGTCGGCTCCTGTTCTTGTCGAGATGGATGTCTCCCCCGACGTGAATTGCGATACAGATGAGACCGCCTGCCGGAGGTTTTCAAGCGCCCAATTCGCGTACAGACGAGCGATGGGTCGAGCTACAGAAAAATGGAAAGCCGCTATCCAGCGAATTTGACCGCCGCTAGGTCTGTCGAAATCTCCGATGTTATGTTTTCCTGAAAGTACGGTGTCATAATCATCCGACAGGAACTGTTCGCACATGTCGTCTGTTCGCTTCGGTCCGAATATTGCTACCCGAGACCTAAGGGTGGCGAAGGCGTCAACATAATACCCATCAAGTTCCTTGCTCAAACAGGTGAAAAGCAGAGTATCGCGGGCCTTTCTATACTGTGCATGCAGTACAGGAGATGCATTTATAACACTATGAAGCGTCGGTAGATCCGGCATCCACGATAGAAGAAGAAACCGAAGCTCGGCTGGTAAAGATTCGAGACGAGAAGTAGATTTTGAGTAATCGCAAACAGCCTGATGTTTGAAATGATCAGAGACCTTCAGAGAGTCCGAAGCATTTTCGGCTACCAGGCTATCTGAAGTAGATTCCTTCCCCAGCCAAGGAGTGGTCTCCGGGGGATTGGAAGTAGCTTTTGTCTTTAGGTTACAAAATGACTTCAGAGAAGGCGAAGAGACTTCAGTCTCCAAATAGGGAGAGTCGTTCGGGCGATCTGCCGTAAATGAACTGTCAAGACAAAGTGATTCTTCCAGTGCGTCAGAAGCAGGTTCTTCTCTGAGACGAGAAGAGTACTTCCTGGAGTTGGGAATAGTTTCGTCTCCAGCGTGGAGCGAGGATTCAAGAGGATCGGAATCGGTCTGATCTTTGGGGCGACAAAAAAGCTCTGGAAAATAGACAGTACTCTCGATTTTAGTGTCAAACAATTCTTCGATGCCCTCGGCCATTGTTGCCATTCTCTCTCCATCATCGTTGCCACTTCGAATGCGGCAGGGTTCGCTGTCGTTGTCATCTTCTGTTGACATGGCTTTGCATCTTGACGATGAAGAATAATTGTTGATCTAAGCATGTGTATAAAGGAGAAAATGATCCTATGGGATACTTTGGCACTGTCGAAGAGAGAGAGAGAGAGAGAGAGAGAGAGAGAGAGAGAGAGATATTAAAATTCAGGTAATGGTGGGGTTGTGTTTATGAGGAGGAAGAGATTGCGTTGCCGCGCCGGTCGCTGAACAGAGTGGCCCAGCCTTGTTACACACATTGTCTCTTTGTAGCTTGATGCGATAATGCAAATTACGTCGTACCAAGGAGGTAGCTTGCACTACGATCTAAGCTCATAGTCCCAGCCACAGTCATCCGTAAATTGAGTTTCTTTGCTATAGATATCGGCACACTGCATGTCGTCCGGATTTGCTCTAAGCGACGTCGGGCAAGAGATCACTGACAAGACATCGTTCACATTCCAAAGAGATGTCAAAGGGGCCACAGCATTCGATACCCTGCATTTAAGAGTTCATCTACCTAGGCAATGACTGATGTGAACTCTGCACTTGTGAATCATATCAATCTAGAAGTGCCCGATTGTATGAGTGGATAAGCGCATGTTGACTTATGTAGTTGGTATCATACTGGTTATATATGATGATATGTGCCATTGCCGCGTTTGTAAAAGGCATTTCTAAAGCTTCTCTCTTGTTCTTACATCAATGTCCAATTACTTAA